CCCCATCTGTCCTGATAGGTGGCCTTGTAGTCTTCAAGTCGCAGGGTGAATTTGCCTCCGGTGAGATACCCCCGTAGACCGCGACATTGCAACATCCCTTCTTGCTCCAAGAAGAGGCACGGCATCCCCTTGGACAAATGGGGAAATATTTTAGAGCACCCGCTCGGATAGTATTTCAACCAAAACGTATTTCTGGGGGTCGGATTGCCCGGGACAAGGTGGAACTTGGGGCTCAGAATAAACTCATCATCTTTCGTGCGTGAGAAGTCTTGGCCGGAGACGTTCCACAAGAAATAGCCCGGGTGCGGATTTAAGTTCCGAATCTTCCGGCGCAACTCATCAATAGTCGAAGCCTGCTGCTGGAAGTGAGAGATCGTGGCGGAGACGATCAAATCCGCAGATGGGTGGCTCAACATATTCGTCGCTGCGGCCTGCTGCTCATCGATTGCGGATTTTTGATGCGCACTGTGCTCATCGATTTCGGATTTCTGTTGCGCACTGTGCTCATCGATTTCGGATTTCTGTTGCGCCACATACTCGTTCACAACTTCGATCACTCTGGCGGCATCGACGGCGGTCGCCTCGATGCCGAACGGCTGGAACGTCTCATTCTTGCTACGGGCAGCCTCTCAAGGCCAGGAAACAATCCAGTATACCAGGACCTTCTTCGTACCCTCAAATAGGGGTATATGGTCCCAAGTAAGAGGGATTTAGGGTCTAATAGAGGGTAGATGGAGGGTCTAGGTACCAGATACAAAAATCCTTTCCACCCAATATTGCAAGGGGGGCAGGGCATCCAACAACACACTCGAAACGTGGTTTCACTATTAGTGTGTTCTTATCTCTACTGAAGGGATCTCGTTTTTGCTCCTGCTTCGGCTCTGGCAGTTCCTCCTCCTCCTCCTCCTCCTCCTGCTCTTGCTTTTGCTTTTGCTATTGCCCCTGTCCTTGCTCTTGCTCCTGCTCTTGCTCTTGCTCCTGCTCTTGCTGCTCCGGACAACCCCAGGATTCAAATTGGGTTTCAAACGGTGTTTATTAGGAGGGGCGCGTTTTATAGAAGGGCGAAATGCTAAGGACTATCAGGGAGGATCTTAGGGCTCCCTGACGTAGTACTCTCGCACCGCCAACAACGGCCTGGGCACCAAAGCCAGTGGACTCTTCGATGCCGCCGCGAACGTCCTTCGAGGGGCCGGGTGGAGGGGTGTGGCAGTGTGGCAAACAGACCAAGCAATAACAAGAAGAATGAGAGTAATAACAAACATGATAGTAATAATAAAAATAGCAATAATTAGTAATAATAGTAATAGGAATCGTTTGGGAAATTTGTAAGGGTTGGCAAAGATCGTCAGGAAGCTTCCAGTCTGCACAAGACGGGCGACCGACAACTTGCAGCAAAATCTGCTCCTATACTAAAGCGGCCTTTATTGTTATAATCATGTTTTGGGGGTATAAGTATAATAAGGAATGCCAACAGCAGTATTGGTAATGTTTTAGGCCCCTATATTATTCGACTCCCTCACGAGACTCCTTCATCAAAGAGCTTCCGGTCGCGTCGATGGAGTGCGTGCTGATGCGGTGGGCAACCACGTGCTTGATGCCCAGGGCAAAGATAGCCAACATGCATGTGAAACTCTGCATGCTAGCGCGAGAAGGCAAGAAACTGGCAAACCAGGATAGGGGCTGTGCAGCTCCCACGAGCACAAGTGGCTGCATGCACTATCAGATGGGTCACTGGGCAAGGGCTTCGGATTCCTTGGGCTCGGCATTGAAGTTGAAGCTCAGACTTTGACCCATTTAGGGATTCTGCCTTCGGGTTTAGGCAGAAGGACTAAACCAATTTCTCTACGCTACGAAAGTCTTCGAGAATGCCTTCCTCGAGGCCTCGAAGACCCAGACCTTCCAAAATCCCTTAATTAAGGAATATACCTTAAATTATAATAGGATCCCAAATATGAATTAAGGTATTCATATTTGGGATCCTATTATAATTTAAGGTATATTCCTTAATTAAGGGATTTTGGAAGGTCTGGGGAGTTCCACACCTCTACGGTCGCAGCTCAGGGGTCGGGCTTTGGGTTGCTGTCGGGGTCCTTGATCTTACTTAGAGGATCATGGGACTTAGCAAGTAGGTTATAACTGGGGTTATAAGTCCCCTAAGTGAGGTTATCCTAATTATAACCTACTTATACCCCTACTTACTAAGTCCCATGATCCTTTAAGTACGACTTTTCTAGGATCCCTAGGGGAGGGGTGTCCGAGGGGGATATGCAATCTAACTATAGTCTCCATTGTAGTTCTTTTTTTTGGTTAACCAAAAACTATATTATAGGACCCTAACCATAAAATTGGTTAACCAAGAAAAGGAACTACACCATAAACTTGGTTCACCAAGACAAGGAACTACAATGGAGCCTAAAGGTAGCAGTCCCAATTCTCCTTCGAACTCCCGAAGTTTCCCTAAGGTTCTGCAAGGATCCCTGGCACTCTCTCTGGGGTTTTATGTAAACAAAAATGAAAAGGATTCCTAAGGAGACTCTTGATTTGGGTAGGAACTCTCCAACTCCCTTGACCCCCATAAATAGCCCTCAACCCTACAGCCCAAAGCAACAAATCCTCTAAACCCCAAAACCCTGAGAATTCATGCTCCGAAGGCCTAAACCCTAAACCCCTAAACCCTAAACCCCTAAACCCTAACCCCTAACCCCTAAACCCCTAAACCCCTAAACCCTAAACCCCTAAACCCTAAACCACTAACCCCTAAATCCTAGACCCTAAACATCCGACTTCCGGCCGCCGGGTAGCTTCTGCATCCCCGTTGTGGGGTTGGCGATGTTCAGCTTCATGGCCTTATTAAGGGTTTAGGAGTTTATAGGGTTTAGGAGTTTAGGGTTTAGGAGTTTAGGATTTAGGAGTTTAGGGTTTAGGAGTTTAGGGTTTAGGAGCTTAGGGTTTAGGAGTTTAGGGTTTAGGGTTTAGGAGTTTAGGGTTTAGGGTCTAGGAGTTTAGGGTTTAGGAGCTTAAGGTTTAGGGATTAGGGCGTTTAGGGTCTAGGCTTTAGGGTATAGGGAGGCCCCAAAGATCTAAATTTCAGAATCTCTAAACTCCAAAGGCCCTAAACGTCTGAACCAGGGGACCTGGTCCTGGAGCAAAATGTTCGGTGACCCGAAACGTGCAGCGACTCAAGGTATGCGCGGGCTTGTAGCTTCTACCTAGACCTTCGATTGTCGTACTTGTTTGTATAGTTTGTATATCTTGCTATATCTTGCACGCACACACATCTACGGAGGATTCTATACAGCTTGGGGTTTAGGGTTCAGGAGGCCCTCGACAACTCTTCACTCTGACTCTCTACCTTCAAACACCAAGATGCAAGACTGACAAAGCCGAAAACAGTAAACCCTAAACCCCAGACCCTAAAGCCTAAACCCTAAACCCCAGACCCTAAACCCTAAACCCCAGACCCTGAACCCTAAACCCTAAAACACTAAACCTGCACTCTGCAACCGTTTTAAACCCAGAACCCTCAAACCCTTGACCGCACAGTCGCTACAGCAAAGCTCATCGAAAGTCTCCCGAGACAATCCGAGACCACTATATGGCCCCTACCATTACCCTAACTCTCTTGCATAGGTAGTTCTCTAAATTTGGGTTCCATTTTGGGGAACCCCAACGGAGGAGGGACTCTCATAAAATGGACCCTGAAAGAGAGACAGCTACCAGCAGAGTCTTGTTGCTGCAGCCTTCGGCCAATACCAACTACTCCAAGCAACGTGACACCCTTGAATTATTGAAGCTCCCGAGAACCATGACTTAAGTCGAACTCCAGAGCCCTAGGCCCTAAACATGCTAAACTCTAACCCTGGTTCAGGGTTTAGGGCTTTAGGGGTTTCGGGTTTAGGGTAAACCCCCCGATCCAGGGCCACCCCGTCTCAGCTCGGCGCTTCCTGCCGGTGTCTCACCAACAGCCGCCCCTTGACCTACGAGAACCAAATGACCCTGGAGCAAAACGGCGGCGACGGATGGCAGCGGGGTGAACCTACCTAGAGCCTAAAGTCTAGGACCTTTAGCTTCACCCCAGGAGGCCCCTAAACCCGAAACCCTAAAGGTTCAGGATTTTGGAGATTCGGGTTCAGGGGTCTAAAGGGAACTCCAGAAAGTTGGAATATGATTATCCTAAACCCTTTATGGTAAAATATAGGGTATCCTACCCTGAAACCATATTCCAACTTTCTGGCTTTTACCTTATTACAGTATGTGCAGCAGCCAGCCTAGCTCCATCAGTCGAATCAGTATTTTTTTTTAAATTTAGAGGATATCGAATTTTGGAAAAACGGTAGTACTCTGAACCCTAAACCCCATGAGCTTCAGTAATGCTGGTATATTTCAAGAATAGCTGTGCGCGCCGGCATTCCCCCCAAAACTCATGAATACTGGATGTGAACGGTCGGGCTTGCAAGGACAGGTTGTCGTTTGGGTTTCGTGTGTAAAGGAAAGGGTTGCTTTGCTCTACATAAGTATAAGAAACCGGCCAGAAACCCTAACCCCTACACCATGTCAAACCTTAAACCCTAAACCCTAAACCCCTAAACCCTAAACCCTAAACCCCTAAACCCTAAACCCTAAACCAATCCTAAACCGCTAAACTCCCGGAGTCCCGAAGCCCTAGGCCCTAAACCCTGAAAACACACCCAAAGCCCCGAAAGACCGAAAGACCCGAACGCCCTAAACCCTAAAAGCCTTAAGCCCTAAACCCTAAAGACACCCAGCCCTAAACCCTGAAAACCCAAAGCCCCGAACCCTAAAGACTCGAAGCCCAAAGACGTCTTGACTCGGCGGACTTTGGTGACCAGAGCCCAAAAAAGGTGGACCTTTTCTATTATGGTAGGGCTATATGAACCCCAAAACGTTATATGTAAACCCTTTAAACACTAAAATCCTATATAACCTCCAACATATTATATAAAGGTTACTTACTCAGCTACTAGGTTGGTGTTTCTGGCCTCGTGGTGAAGGCATCGGAACTTCGAGCTGTGCCTGCCATCTCGCTTGGCTTTCGAACTTTTCAGGGATCTTTAAGAGGATCTATAAGGGTTACTGATTTCTATGTAGTTCTCTAAATGCGGGCCCCTTCTAAAAGAAAGTGCCGTATTATTTTGGGGAAGTAAAAAGGGACCCTAATTCACAAGAGAACTAGCCATGAGGGGGGGGGGCTTTCTTCAGCTGCGGTGCAGGCATACAGCTGTGGATTCCACTTCTAAAGTAAAAAACTTTCTGGAGTTCCCTTTAGGTCGGAAGGTTGAAGGCTTTGGGGTTTCTGGGTTTCAACGTTTCGGGTGTAGGAGGGCATAGTCGCGATCTACCATTCCATAGAACCCCATGGTTTAGGGTTTAGGGTTTTTGGGGTTTAGGGGTTTAGGGGTTTGGGGTTTAGGGTTTATATATATATATACATATGTATATATACATATATATGATTATGTGTAGAGGCTCTATACGGATCTTCACTTCCTTTTCAGACTCTTCAGGTGTTCATGTTAAGAAAAGTTGCACACACGTGCGCACACCCACACACAGACATGCAGACAGGAAACATGCACGCCTGCATACATACGTGCATTCGTTCATTCATTCACGCATTCATTCATTCCAAAACCCTAAACCCTAAACCCTAAACACAATCCGCAGGATTGGGCATGCGACATGTGCTGCTCAGGCGGGCAGTCCGTAGGCCTCGTAGCCCTAACTCCCTAGCCCTGAACTGGGCTCTGTGTTAATGTCCCCCGGAACCGTTCTTCAACAGGCACCTCTCTAAGATTCTTGGAGAAATGTAAGCGTCCCCCAAAACTAGCCATATCCTAAGTAGGTCCTGAAGCTTAAACTCGAACGTCTTGAAGCTTCCAAAACTAGAAGCCTACAGCTCTCGTAATACTCCACGAGCTTCTTGGGGTCATTGCATTCCCGATCTCAATATGTTGCTCTCCTTCTGTAATAAACGAGTCTGACCAACAAATCCTAGTTCAACCGTTTTGTTATGGGATTACGAGAGGGTTCATCTGCACATGCGAGTGTAAGTTCACAGTGTGCAACCTGAGTGCAAGTTGATTCAACAGCCGCAAGCACAACACGGCCGCCTTCCGTGCGAGATTCCCACGGTGAATTGCCTGTAGCCAGGCGTACCGGAAACCCTAAACCGTAAACCGTCTGTGGCCAGGCGTACTCGAAAAGGCAGCTTCCAGTTCAGTAGGCTTGGGGCTTTATCAGGATCGCCTGAAGCCTGACACCAATCCCAAGCACGGCTTCTGCAAGAAAGCTAGGGTTATGAGTCGGGCTTGGGATATAGGGGTTTACGGTTTACGATATGGGGTCACTCTGATGACCTACTTGTACAAGAACAAACTTGAGCAGCTTCGAAAGTTCTGTCATTGAGGCAGAAGACGCAGACGGGGCCGCGAAACCCTAAACAAGAAAGCAACCACACAGACTCGGTCGCGGGACCGCGGCCGAGAGTGCAGAGTGTTTGTTGAGACTCAAAGCATCTCAAAGCTTTACCAAGACCCCGAAACCACCCTCCACTGTAGCCCTAAACCCGAAACCTCAATCTCGCAGAGTACGGCTTCGGATTTGGGGCACATGTTTGTTGGGTAGCAGCGGCACAGACACAAAGACCATGGCATTCTTGCAATTACTGCTATACCTGAATAAAGATCCATGTTGAAGCTCATGCAAACACGAAGCGCCCCAGAAACCTTGCCAAGAACACGCCTGGATCTTCGTAGCCGCTTCTTGCTCCTCCTTGTCGGCTTTCTCCTGTTCGCGGAGCTCGATCCCATTTGCTGCAAGGACCAGGAAAAGACAGGGCCAGTATCGGCGCTGGAACCACTGCACACAGTGTTGAGCACCGACACCTAAGCCTACTACATACAGAGACAGAAATCGGCACAAGACCTTCGTTTACGAGCCCCAAACTACAGGAGTTGCGATGCTGAGCAATGCTTTTCCTGAGGGTCCTTTATTATCAGTAGAACATACCCCAGAACCCAACTCTAAATATCAACCATCTCTTATTAAAGCCCCTTTATCTGGTATAACATACCCCGGAACACAAATTCTAAACATGATAAGGCCCCTCTATCAATTCTGATGGCCAGCTGGTCCCCTATGCCCCCTTCATTCGGAACCAGGCAGGCCGATTACCGTCATCATCTTCGATTTTTCTCCATGTTCGACTACTATTGAGACCATGATGCTGTTTAAGCAGCGCTATTACTGGATATGATCTTGGCGACGATGCCCCTATAAGCCCTAAACAAGCTTAAGGAAGACCCCCAGATTCGCTTGTGCAAAGCCCCCGCCTTGCAATCCAGTAAGGTCATATGCATGCTGCAGGTCTACAAAGCCCTTATGTATTCTTATTCACAAAGGCCCCAATATTACCTTAAACGGCTCCTTGGCAACTTTCTCCTGCAGCCTCTCTTGGCCCTCCTGGCACGATGCTGCGACACGGGAAGTTCAGAAGCCAAGGTCCATATTAGGGATACTACTATCTAAGGCAAACGTTAGGGTTCAGGGCTTAGGGTTCTGCACCTCTGGTCCCTTATGTTCTGAAGCTTCCACATGAAATGCAGATCTGGGTCCGCAACGCCCGAAACACTCTGCGATGAAGCCCTCGAAGCTTACAACAACCTCAAATAAAAGACCTTCTGAGACCCATTCCAAGCCAATAATGTTCAATGACGAGCCCAACCTACTTGTCGGGTATCATTGGGAACTAGAGGTTGACTTTTTTGGTTATGTAGGGTCTATGTAGGGACTATACTACTCTACTACTAGGCCAAACACATGCACTGGTATTGTTGAGCCGAAAGCTTCCCTGCAAGAAAACAGCTCTTTATCCCACTGCGCTGCCTTCTGCCAGCACCTGAAGCCCTATCTCTAGTCTCCATTGTGGTTCCTTTTGTCGGCTGACCACAACCTCTATTTCAGGATCCTAACCATAAAACTGGCTAACCAAAATCAGGAACTACAATGAAGACTATAGGTAATCTGCAAGCCCTCTAAACTCCCCTAAAGCCTAAACCCAAAACCCTAAACCCAAAACCCTAAACCCTAAACCCCTAAACCCTAAACACTGAATTCAGAAGGCATCCCAGAGCCTCCCCCTGAATCCCCCAAAACTCCTGGTGGCTGCACCTCCAGTAAACCCTGCCTGAACCCTGGAGGACCTATCTTTTCAGGGAGCTCCTTGTTATGATTTCCTTATCTTAGGGGCTGAATACCCTTGCCCAAAGAAGCTTAACCTTTTCAGTTTTAGTAGGAATATATGAGCCCTAAAAGGTTGAAGGTTACCGTTACCTACTCAGCCCCTAAGATAGGGTCCAGGAGGCAGAACCCTAAACCCCCAAACTTGAGGGTTTAGGGCTTATAGGGTTTCCGTCCAAGAATCTCCGAATTAAACCCTGAAATCCCAAACCCCAACCACCAAAGTCTTCAATTCCCTGAAGGCCTAAACCCTACATTCCTAAGCATAGAACGTAAACGCGAGACCCGAAAGCCCTGACTCCTAAACCAAAAAACCTCTAAACCTTACATTCCTACACCTTACAATGAATGAGAACTCTACGATCAACCCTAATTAACCCTAAACCTTGCAGATGCCTTCGAAAACTCGAAACAACCCTTTAAGATCCGTTTAAAGAAACTCGTGAACTCCCACCAAACGCCGTGAACAAAGCGTATGCCTTGCGAGCCAAGTTCCCGCGATGCATGGCCTTTTGCAGGATTTGTCGGGCTTCGGGTGTAGGAATGTTGGGGATCTTGGGTTCAGGCTATAGGGTTGAAGGATTTGGTGAACTTCGAGTCTGGGGATTGGGATTTTGGGTTTAGGATTCACTTTAGCCCGGAATAACCTACCTCTTTCAGGACTTATATACGGATATCATAATAAGGAACCCTAAAAAGGTAGGTAATCGGGCTAAGGCAAGGTTTAGGGATTTTGGAGTTGAGGACTTCAGCCCATCGCCAAATGCAACTTGCACAGCAATGAGAATGCGATTGATAAAATAGCACCTGGCCTAACCCACCTCTAAAGAATCATCAAGCTCTCCCTCAAATCTGGTTGAGACTCTAGGAAACCTACAAGAGCGGGTCTTGGGGGTAAGGTCACCCTCGAGAGAAGTAAACCCTACAGAGCCCGTACCAAAACCCCTATACTTGTACCTATAGTATCCACTGTAGCTCCTTTTTTTGGGCTTCATCAATCTATATTTAGGATCCACAAGGTAACCCCCAAAAGGAACCGCAACACGCCCGGCCGGTCTGGGTGCCTGAATCTTAGTGGCTGCTTGCTCTTGCTGCGGGTCAGGAGCCTCCACACGCAGGACTTCCATTTCGGTGGGTCTAATGTGGGAGTTTCCGGAAACTAGGGTATCTTATTTTGGGACCCTTATAACAAGGATCCTACTATTTAGGGTAATGACTATATGAGGGTCCCCTATTTTCCGGAAAGTCCCAGTAAGGGCCTTCATGATCAGAGCAGGATTCTGGGGCCCATTGTATTACCATGAATTGCAAAAAGGAGCCGCGGGAGGTTGGGATGTTTAAATCTCGAGGCACATCAATTGAAGGCTCTTCGGGCTTAGGGTTAGGGCTTAGGGTAAGGTCGCCGCTTCTCCTGTGAGGCTTCCAATGTGGAGGGAAGTTGCTGCCCCAGGGCCCCAATTCCATCAACCCAAGTCCGAAAACCAGGTCTCACAAACCTTTGCCCTCAAGAACCTGCCGTGTTTACGGACTGACAGGAGGCAACTGTGACGAAGAACCCAAAGACATTAGTTTCTTTCTTCGGGTTCAAGCCAGCTCCACGGCCCCCAAAAGCCTCAAGCTACAACCTATGGTCTCGCGCAGGGAGGCACCTGAAACAGCAATGAGGAATGACCTGAAATACGCCTCAACATGAACTTATATACCTGAAAAACACTTGTAACATCAAATAACTGCATCATGCGATCGGGTTTGGCTTCGCTGCATTTCAGAGAGTTCTTCATGCTCTAACGAAGAATTCCAGACCTGTCCATCCAACGTGGGCTACACTTACCTTTGGTTAGTAGGGAATGGCGGAATGGGGTACCATTAAAACTAATATTACTACCATTCTTCCATTCCCTACTGACCAATGGTAAGCAGATTGCGCCTGCAGCGTGATGATGGTCACGTCCTCAGGCTTCTTTCCATGTGCCTGCTCGGTTTGAATAATTGCTCCGGATAGAGAGTTTAGTTGGGGTTCAAGGGTTCAGGTAGTTGGGTTTAGAGTTTAGGAAAGCTGCCTTCATGATCACCGAAACCCCAACATATCATCTTGATTTCGCTTTGTGGGCTCCTATCCTAACCATGGGGCAGGTTATTCAATGAAAAGCACCGCAATTCAGGGCAAATGGTCTAGGTAGCGTTCAAGGCATATCGGCTTGTTTCGGCCCTGTTTGGAAGAGCTTCTGCCGCGAGACAACGATCAAGCAATTTAGTGTCTCATGTTATGCTGCCGCAGCGCAGGAACAGATCGTGCATGCACAATGCGTTTCTGACCTGTATATGCGAAATTCACGTACACTGCATGCTGTACAGGAAACACAATGGTCAACTATGCTTAGCTCTGAAATCCCAGACGGGTATTTCAACCAAGCACGCTAACCTCCGCTAAAGCACAACACAACACAATTGCTCTGTCACAGCGGCTGTCAGGATGCTCCTGGAACTGGTAAGTGCGACGACCAGGGAAAGACTAGGCCGGGTAAGATTTGCCTCTCATGGTTACGGATGCAGCAGACTAACAGCGTGACAGTGCAGTACAAGAGCTCGAGCACGTCGGACAACTCCCTTATTAGCATACAAAATCGGAAAGAAATAGTACGGCGCAACATGCAGACACTGCAAACGAAACAAGTCTGTGTCTGACTGCTTGTTCAATGAAGAATGCTCGGATTACAAAAAGCTTTCGGCTGCACAAGAACGGGGATTTACGGAGATGTAAGCTTAGAAGCTACTAGGCCGGCATCGCAGGACCATGCGTGCATCGCGAAATGGTCGTGCGATATGACTAAACAAGTGTAGACCATCATAGATAAGCTCCCATAGACACCAGTAATCAAAGCAAAGGTGCCGTTAACACACCACGAAAAGTACAAGAGAAGAACACGTCACCAACCCAAGCGACTTTCATTCGCAGACGGCGCCATATATGTGCGGCCGTCGATGCCCTTCCCCCTGCAGTGCCTCGTCTGATTGATCTTTCTTGTCTTGGCCCTCCTGATTTTATAATAGCCTATATAACATATAAGATAGGGTAATATACAGTTCCTATACTGAACTTAGAACCCTAGCAACAACTATAATTTTAGCTGTTTCTTAGGGATTATAATAAACAAAAATTAACAAACATTTTTCAGTACCCCTAAGAAAATGATATAACAGAGTGCAAGGTGTTTCCACGGTTTGGGCCAAGCCCTGAGTCTTCGACAATGATCGGCACCCTCGCAGATCCCTGCATAAGGATAAGGGTACTTTTCTTCCCATCTTCACCCTAAACCCTTAACCCCAAAAATCAAACCCTAAACCGTTCATACAGAAACCCCCAAAAATCAAACAGGCATAATGGTACCAGTCACAGGGTCTAAACAGGAAGCAGTGGCCCTGTACAGCCCCTATACAGCTGTATTTTAAGATGCCCCAAAACTCTATTCTAGCTAGATATTTCCGTCGCCTTGAAAAGGAACCTCCATAGTCAGAAGAGGGTTTGGGAGGGTTGGAATTATGCCGTAGGCATATCAAGGGCTGCAAGGGGTACATAATACGCACCCTATGTAAACAGTCATCCCCATCAATTCGGATACATAACCTTAAACCCTCAACCCCTAAACCCTTGAACCCTTAAACCCTAAACCCCTCAACCCTTCAACCCTAAACCCTTAAACCCTAAACCCTTTCCGATTCTTCCGACCCCCCATCTGAAAGCTGCTCTGGTCCGAGCTGCGAAGGCTGCCGCTACCCTAAGGCTCTAAGGACTCATATTTTAAGGTTTTTGGGCCTAAAGACCATATTGTATGAAGCTCTTGGCCCATTTTGAGCCTGAGGGCTAGAGCCGCTGATCCATTTTGGGATTTCAGGGATGAGGGTTTGGATCTCAAGACTAAACATGCTGGGAACAAAAATGTTTTTGCCCCAAGACGTTTAGGGTTCAGGGGATTTGGGGCACCCCTGGAGCCCTTGCAATCCTAATCGAACGCGCATGGAACTAGACCCCTAAGGGTCGAAAGGACCAAATAATCAGGTACTCGTTGGGTACGGCCCCCACTCAGTAATAGTTGAATAATATTCATAATTAAGATATAGTAGGACCTTAATAGTAGCCCTATTATGGACTCTAAGTGTATGGGGGCCGTACCTAAGGTACGCGGGTTTAGGAAAAGTAGTAGTTATGTAGGTTTAGTGTTTGGGAAAGTATATGACTATTGGGTACTTTTACTTTTACCCTTAGGGAGAAGCAGGTTTTGGGGCGTGCTCTAAAAGACTGTTGACAAGGAAAACACACCCTGCAGCAGAAGTTGCCTTCCGCACGAGGTTGCCGCGATGGATGGCCTTCTTAGTTGGATGTTCATGGGTAGTTATAAGTGGGGTTTATGAGTAGGGTAACTATACTTATCAAACATAAACTTAAGGGACTTATCACCCTACTTATAGCCCTAAACCCTCAACAAAGAACCCATATTCGGGGACATATAGCCACACATGAACCGGCAGCACCAGGGTCCCAACGTGCGGGACCAGGGAGCAGTTTGGCATTGGTCATAAGACCCTTGTTGTTCATTGTCTAGGTTACCCAGTAACCTATGAATAAAAAGGCCTCTCTTTTTGGTATTGGGTAACTTTATAAGGAACCTAGGACCACAAAAAGGGAATAAGGGTATTACTGGGCATCCTAGTTGTATATCACATTCACATGATTCCATATCTGGACCCCAAAAGTATGTAAAATAATGCCCTTGTATAGGTCTTGGGCCATTATCTTACTTACTCTTGGGGGCTTGCATCAAGATCCCCAACCGTGTAGACTGAGCCCTAAAGCAGATAGCAAACCCTTGCCAAAGCATCCACATCCCTGTGCAGTCTTGCAGCAGCCCTTTTTGGCTGGTCTAGCATAGTAATCAATCCCTTTACTGGGCTTTTAAGTAACCAGGGAGAAAAATGTGTAAATTGTTCTTGCATAATGGTTCCGTTAAGAAAAAAGGATTAAAGTATGGTACTCCAAAGCTCAGTTTAGCCTGCACCCTTTAATTTTCCGCACCAACTTAAAAGTCTGCAGGGTGAAAGGTGCCAGCAGAACAAGAGTACTACTAACAATAGTCACAATACTGAGAGCAAAAACATGGATAACACACCATGCCACATATCATGTGACAAGTATGTGTCGAAAACATGATACGTAACATCCAAACCAGGGATGCCTTTCTGGGCCCCAAAAATAGTACGGCAAAATTGATACAAAGGACCCTAAGCCGGAATCCTTATATCAGCCTTGTGGATACCCCACATCGAAACCCTTGTAGGTCCCTTTAAGGCATTAAGGAGCCCTGAAAGGGATGCTACTGTTGATGATATAATCCTGCAGTACCTTAAAGCCCCTAAACTATGGGAATAGTGGCATATACCTTATTACAGGCAATGCAGGATTTATATCATCAACAGCAGGATGCGTATATAGAAACCCTTGTAGATCCCTTTGGGGAACCCCGAAGAGGATCCTATTTCAGAGAACTGCGCAAGAGCCGAGGAAGAAGCCCCACTCCCCTTTGCGAACTCAAATAGAGGGGCCTCAATAAGTAGAACAGTGTGCCCTTAAACGGGTTTTTTGGGCTACTATACGGGGTCTATTAGGGTACTATAATATATACGTGCGTATTAATTAGAATAGGGTTTTGGGGCCTCTTATACTATAACTTAAAAATGCAAGAAGGAGCCCCCAAAATAGTATTGGTGATTATTTAGGCTATGTTAGTCTTGCGCCCTTCACCCCATGGAGTTTGATAGTGCAAGTATGATGGGAACCTTAAGGTTTTTAGTGTGAACAAGTGTTCAGGCTTCTGTATTAAATTCGTGCCTGTGGGGTATCGAGCTCGACACCTTAGGGCGTATTATGCTGAGTGTCGAGTCCGTGTATGGGGTACATGTGGGAGTTTCCAACAATAGAGGACCCTAATACAGTTCCCTAAATAGTAGGATTCTTATTATTATGAGGACCCCAAAACAGGGTACCCCCAATTTTCGGACACCCCCATGTAAGTGCTGTGCAGCAAAGACTAAGACTAAGCCCCGAATTTCGGAAACCTCTGCAATGACTCGCGTACCGATGCGCCTGAATCTTCGTAGCTGCTTCCTCCTGCTGCCGCTCGTGGGCATCCTGTTTGCAGATGTATTCCGAGTTTAGGGTCTTTTCCAATGGCAAACCCAAGCCTATTCCCTGAAGCCGAAAGACCCACAAGGCCGTACAGTCCCAGACCTTCCAAAATCCCTTAATTAAGGAATATACTTTAAATTATAACAGGATCCCAAATATGAATTAAGGTATACTCCTTAATTAAGGGATTTTGGAAGGTCTGGGGTGTCAAACCTTGAAGCAGGACCAGGATGTTTGGAGCCTGGGGTCTAGGGCCTAGGGTTTTGGGCTTTCAAGTCAAGGACACTATAGGAAACTCCAGAAAGTTAGAATATGGTTTCATGGTAGGATACCCTATAACTTACCATAGAAAGGTTAGGATAATCATATTCCAACTTTCTGGTTTTTACCTTAGACTCAAAATGACTCGCGGCTTGAGCTTTTGGTACAATCCTCTTGCGTAATTACAAAGCCCTGACTGCAGAAACCCTTACAAACACTAGAATGACCTTCATTGTGTCCTCACTTTTGCATGGGCTAGAACCAACACAGAAAGGCGGACACACACACACACACACAAACAAACATGACACGGACAAACCCACACAAACGCAGACGAGTCTAGAACCGCTTTCGACACTGACTGCATGTCTTCACTGCCTTGGATATTGTCATTGTCTTCATTCCGCACGAAGCAGACGAGCCCGAAGCGCTGGGGAACGACGACACTTGAGTTCACCCGCAAGAAAAACTTTGGGAAGCCCTTGGAAGGCTTTCGACTCTTTCTGATGCGTCCTATGCTTATGATGCTGCATTTTTGGCACACACGCATATATATATATGTATGTATGTATGTATATGCATATGTACATGTATCTGTATATGTATATCTAGATGTAGCTGTAGCTGTAGAATATGCTGTATGTGTATGTACACATATGCTGTTACATACATATACTTACACATATTACATATATACACACGTTATATATGTATTATGTCGTGGACTGAAGCGCAAGATGCGAGGCATAGACTCGGCATAGACCCTGGACCCACTGTCCCAAACCGAACACCTCAGGGGCAAAGTACCCTAGCCCGTAGGATTACATAAGCCCCAGAAGGGTAAAGGCTACTTGCCCAGCCTGAAAGGATCAACCGAACATCACAAAACAAATTCCGCACGGCAGCACGAGACCGAGTGCCTTGGCAGCTTTCTCTTGCTGCTTCTCCTGGCCCTCCTGGGTTCAAGGCTCTACCTATAGTCTCCATGGTAGTTTCTTTTTTTGGTTAACCAAAATCCCTACTATAGGATCCTAACCATAAAACAGTTAACCAACAAAAGGGAACTACAATGGAGACTGCAGGTAGGGTTTAGGGCTTACTTTCCCTTGTAGAACTCTTGTACAGCCCTGCAGAGGAAACCTTCCCTATCCCTAAGCCGAGGTTTCAGGGTCAAGGGACATTGGGGGCGGGGCTGGGGTGGTGTCACTTTGTCGTAGTTTACACAGGAGTGTGCACCCACCAAAAGTAAGAAACATATTGGCCCAATGCCAATTTAAAAAAAAACGATTATTGAAATAATTTTGGGGTCCAGGTATGTGATCATGTGATCCATAATGCACGACACGGGAGACCCGTAATTGGGACAGCCCCACATGTCGAAGAGCCGGCCTTCCGTGCGAGGTTGCCGCGATGAACAGCCTGCCCGGTTGCCCGTGGCCCATGGAAGCACTCGGTAAACCCACAATCCCAAAACCCTAAAACCAAAGGGAACTTGGCCCAAAAAAGGTTCCGGAAATCTGAAGGGAATCAACCGATTGGCTATGTCTAGCGTGCGGCCTTTCCTGTAAGCTCTGTAGGCGCATCATCTAGCCTGACTAAACCGAGATGCCGGTTCGGGTCTCTGTTGAGGTTTGCATGAAGACATTTTTCTGTTCGAGGACTCACCTGAAAGATATACCAGACCGTCGCACCAAGAGGTGCAGCGTTTGGGATCCTCAACAGAAGCTGGCAAACCCTTACTTAAATCAACCCTTATTATAACTAGAAAGATCTTGAACTGCGACCCTAAACTAAACCCTTAACCCCAAACCCCTAAACCCTAGACCCCTAAACGCTAAACGTACGACGTTCTCGCAACACCCGTCTCCTCAGAGAGATCCTGCAAAGGACCCTACACCTGCAAGGGCCTAGAACCCGCGGCCTTGCAAAATTGGAGACTTCCAGGGATAGTGTTCATTTATAGGGCTCCTTTAAGAGATCTGTCTATAAGGGTTTATGGTTCTTTTTTTGGGGGTTTGGGGCTTAGGGTTTATGAATTTGTTTAGGGTTTACTGCCCAATGGCCCTTTAATGGGGCCCTCATGGTCCATAATAGTGGGAATGAAGGGTGTATTAGAGGGTAGTTGGAGGATCTAAGTAGCGGTTATAATATGGTTTTAGGGCTTATAGGGTTTAGGGTCCCTACGGATCTAGGCTTAGGGTTTGTAGTTCCTTGGGGTAGACCTCCCTGTTCGAACTAATGCAGGAACCTGATTAAGAAACCCTGGGCCTATAACCCCAAAATAGCAGGATTCATGTACGGCACCCTAATGAACACCCCAGGCTTTTTTTTAATCAGGTTGCTACTAATGCCCGGATATTACACCCAAGGCCTGGATCTTAGTGGCGGCTTCTTCCTGCTGACGGTCGTGGGCTTCCTGGTGGCGTAGGGCTGAAGTAGGATATGACATGCGTTCGGCGTTCATCTCATGCAATAGTATGATGCTTAAGTAAAAATAAGATAAATAACAAGTTCAAAGCAAACTAAGCATAGTAGCCATAAGCATTTGGAGGCCTGAAGGCTGTGCGGGCGATGGCTTTTAGATGCAAGTCCGGAAACCACTCCGAACCCATGCAAGGCATCGTAAACTCGGGGGGCGGTTCATTTTGGCTTGGTCTTGTCTTTTGGGTTAGGTGCTATAGGGCCGAGGGCTGTGCCCTTGTCTAAGGGTCTCCATAGCTGGGGCTTGGAGTACTAGTAGTTGCTGTAGTCAAGCGGAGATGTTTGCTGCTGGCTTTCAAGGTCTGAGTCTTGCCCTGCCAAAACTCTCACCCCACCTCCCCGCTCCCACTCAAAACGAAGCTGTAAACCCAAACCCCTAGACCGTAAACCCCAAACCCCAAACCCCTAAACCCTAAACCCAAAGCCCTGGACACCTAGGCCCTTAACCCAAATCCATGGCTCTACGGACCCTAGACCACTACCCATAGGTTCCGTTTCGGGACTATCTTGTAGGATTCTAGATATGAGCCCCCCAAAAAGGAACTACATACTATGGAGCCGATGGGTACAGCCCCAAAGCGCCCCACCTGCCGGGCAAAGTTCCCCCGGAGGCTGGCCTCACTGGCAGGGGTCCAAAGACTAGTACTTGGAGAATCATGGGACTTAGTCAGTACCCTAATTGGGTCATAAGTATAGTTACCCTAATTATAACCCTAGTTACTAAGTCCCATGATCCTTAAGTAGGGAATGGGGGAATGGGTTCCGTTTCAAGGGTTTCTTTCAGAGTTCCTTTCAAGGGGTCTATAAGGCTACTATGACGGGATCCATGATGTTTCTCAGTAGGGAATGGGGGAATGGATCCCTATGACAGTCCCTATTCGGTCCGTCACAGTAGTCCGGATAACACATTCCCCGAAGAACCAGTGGTTTGGCAAAATTAGGGTCCCTTTTTGTGGTACCGTAAATATTAGGTGCCGTACTATAATAAGGACCCAAAGAGGGACTCTAATTTTGACAACCGCACATGTGGGTTTGGGGGCTTAGGGATCTTATTAGGGCTTTAGGGTCCAGAGGCTTTAGAGAGTTAGGGTTTAGGGTCTAGGGTTGAGGCTCTATGGCGCATGCTGTTTATCATGGCAACTTACCCTAAAGCTCCAGTCAACTGAATCATTGGCTACTATAACCCTAAACCCTAAGCCCATAAACATATCCTTTGTAACCCAGCAGCCCAATGTTTGGGTAAGTGTAGCCATAAGGTTGCTGTTAAGTTTCCTGAGTTCCTTATAGCAAGAAACGAGCTTCTCATCCCAACTCACGAAACAAGCTGTTTGAAGCTACACCGGAAGTTTACACCCTCAACTTTTCGCCGCCTTGAACATGCGGAGCCGGGTTCCTCTATAGTACCTCCCTCAATTACTATAATCAGCATACCCTTTCCCGACCCCTAAACCCAAAACACAGAGATCTCTAAACCATAAAGCCCAAACTATTCCGGTTTTGTTTCTATCGACGCCAACCTAAGAAGGGCGGAGCCTACTAAGACACCTTCCCGCTCTGCACTTCTGTCATGTTTTCTTTTGCTAACGGCCCTCCCTCAACCTTTCGGTGATCCGGAGTCGATCGCTGCTATAAACCCTCAGACCCTAGAGCCCTAACACCCTAATACCCTGAACCCTAAGCCTCGGATCCAAGGCTTCTGTGGCAAAGGGGTTTTCGGCATAGGGGGATTCAGAATCAAGGCTGGGATTCCGGAGACGAAGGTCCTGAATTTTGTTCTTGACCCTCCAAGCTCTGGAACTCTACCTATAGTATCCATTGTAGTGCCTTTTTTGGCTCACTAGTTTTATGGTTAGGACTCTGTAATAGAGTTTTGGATAACCAAAAAAAGGAACTGCGATGGAGACTATAGGTACAAAGGTTTAGTTTCTGGTGTAGTGTAGAGTTGAAGGTCCATGGAAGAAGCCATGGCTCAACAATCAAAGCCGCGGGAGGACCGGAGACGCCAAACCCAAAGCTGTACTGCCCGGAAACCTCAAGGGCTTCAAGCCCGGGAGCCCTAATTAAGGGATCTACAGGGCTTTAGGGGTACCTTATTTTGGGGCCCTTATAATAAGGATCCTACCATTTAGGGTACTATATTAGGGTCCCCTATCTTCGGAAACTCCCAATTCAGGGATCTAAAGGGCTTCAGGGTTTAATTTGGGTGTTCCGAAAGAACTGCTTTGTCTGATATCGCAAAGCTGATAGAATCAGCTGTACCTGAACCCCCAAAGTAGATCGAGTAATGGCCCAACTCCAAAAAAGGTTTGTATTTTGCATACTTAAAAGCTACGATGCTGGGTAGTTCAAGGGTCACGGCAAGCGGACATGGGGGTTTCCGAAAATTAGGGGTATGTTAGTTTGGGTCCTTAAAATAAGGATCCTACTATTTAGGGCATTATATTAGGGTCCCCTATTTTCCGAAACTCCCACATGAAGGTGATTAGAAGGGATGGGGGGGGTTACATATGGCCCCAAAAGAGCAAATAAGCAAAAAATAGGATAGTGATATCCCATATAAACCCCCTTATCATGCAGCCCAATAAGGTAGGGATATCACCGTAAAATGCTTATGCCTATGTGTTTTTGGGGTCCCTAATTACCCCAGAAAGGGGGCCTGGATCTTCGTGGCGGCCTCATCTTCCTCCTGCTTGTCTTGCTTGGTTTAGGGCTTAGGGTTTAGGGTTTAGGGATCATGGGACTTAGTAAGTGGGGATAAAAGTACCCTAAGTGAGGCTATAAGTAACTATAAGTATAGTTACCTGAATCATAATAACCCTAGTTACTAAGTCTACTGATCCTTTAAGTAACCCTACTTGTCGGGTATCATGGGGAACTAAAGGGTAACCTTTTTGACTATATCGAGGTTATATAGGGGTTTTACTACCCCAAAAGAGTTAAAGGTTACCTGCTCTACTACTAGGTAACTGGTGAGTTACAGGGCCCCCGGTTGGAGGATCAGGGGACTTAGTAAGTTAGGTTATAAGTACATTAGATGGGGTTATAAGTAGGATAGTTACCCTGTGTGTAACCCTAGAAACTAAGCACCATGATCCTTTAAGCGGTTTAGGGTTTAGGACAAGAAAGGCTCCTGTGCGATTTGGGGTTACGCTGGCGTAGAACTGAAACTTGAAGGAAAGCTATGGCAGCTATGCTTTTCTTGCACTGAAAATGAGGATACGGCTGCCGAAGCTTCTTCAGTTGGCAAGGTGAGACCAGGGTTTACGACATTCAGCCTATGGTAGCGGTCAGTGCGAGGATGGATCTAAGCTGATTTGGCTCATGGGTTATCACGCAATCTCATCATTCCAGCTGAAGTACCATACGTTCCTTCAGCTCTTGCAGTCAACTCAACTCACATGTTCTAGTGCACACACGCTCTTGCGATCGCAACATTTCGGGGGGTGGACGAACCCCGAGCCCTTAACTTGATAACTCTGCGAGAGCAAGAGAGAGAGAGAGAGAGAGAGAGAGAGAGCGAGAGAAAGACAGAGAGAGAGAGAGAGAGACAGAGAGACAGAGAGACAGAGAGACGGAGAGACAGAGAGACAGAGACAGAGAGAGAGAGAGAGGCAAACATAGAGAGACAGGGACAGACACGCAGACAAGAAAGCTTCCATATAATTCTGAGTCCCAGCCCTCGACTAGAAGGATCCCTAGAGGCCCTAGCGTTTCTCTGATATCCATATCCCCTAATCAAAAGTCTTGTGCTGGCCCTCCATTTCGGGCACGCTCTAGAACAATGCCTCCCGAGATTGGGTTTCTCATGTTACCGTGTCTTCAATACTCGGCTTGAGGTTTAGGGTGTTGTTCACAGGTTGTGTACTTTGCTTCGGGGAAAAGGAAACCGCATCCCTACTCCAAAACCTAACCTGGGTGGTAGCTAACGTCTGGGGGTCCCTAACAGTATTTATGACAAGATACCTCTATAGGAACCATAAAGAGAAATGACAAGTTCACCAAAGTGCCACCTAGTAGCTGATTCTACATCCTCAGCAATCAAACCCAATGAAGCCTTCAGCCCAAAACCCTAAGGCCCAAATCCGAGGCGCCTGAGTCTTGCTGGTGGCGTCCTCATGCGTCTCTTCTTGGCCATCCTGGGGCACTGCTGCGATTTGGATTGAAGGGAGTCTGGCGACGCCGCCCTAAACCCTAAACCCTAAACCCTAGTTCAGAAAACGGATATTTAGGACTTAAAGAGTTTGGAATTGCAGGGCTGCGGAACCTGTGGAGCTCCTGAACAGTCAGGCACTTCTTGGGTTTAGGGTTTTAGGGTGAACCTGAACCTCCAAAACTATGTAGAATAATATGCATTTATAATGTTGGGCTCGTTTAGAGTTTAGGGGTCTAGGGTTCATTGTTTTCTTGTTTGAAGGTGCAGTAGCTTCTTTATCCGCAGGCGGCTGTCGAAGCTCGCTCATGATTGAGCTTGCACTCCCACCCTTATCATCTCGGGTTCAGGGTTTAGGGGTTTACCTATAGTCTCCATTGTAGTTCCTTTTTGTGGCTGAACCAAACATATATATATATATATATATATATATATATATATATATATTAAGGATCCTATAGGGCAACCCCAAAAAGGAACTACAATGGAGACTATACTTGGAGGATCATGGGACTTAGTAAGTGAGGTTATAAGTACCCTAATTGGGGTTATAGGTATAGTTACCCTAATTGTAACCCCAGTTACCAAGTCCCATGATCCTTTAAGTAGGTAGGGGTTTAGGGCCGTTTCCACCCGAAGTTCCGAGAGCTCCGCACTAACGGGCAACTTTGACAGCCGATCGTCGGTCTGAGCCCTTGAGGTCTCAAACGGCGGTACATCAGAATAAAGGGGCCTCTTACTTCGAATAGGGTTCCTTTAAAAGGGGTCCCTGAAAGGGTTATCATAACGGCTCTATACGGGTGCTATAATATTCGGGCCTGAATAATTAGAGTAATTAGGGTTTTTGGGGCCCGTTCTACTACAGCTATACAATAAGGAACCCATCAGAAAATAGCATGGGGAATAATTTAGACCTCTATACTGTATCAACCCTGCAGCCCTTGACTTCTTGAAGCCTAAGCACTGAACCCTGAACTCTAAATCCTCAGCCCTCTAACGCCGGCACTGAACTCTGGAAGCCTTACCTATAGTCTCCATTGTAGTTCCTTGTTTGGTTATCCGAAATCTCTACTAAGGGATCCTAACCATAAAACTGGCTAACCCAAAAAAGGAACTACAATGGAGACTATAGGTAGTACCTATCCTCCAAACTGAACTCAACACGCCCCGTAATCATAACACATCATAACCACTGAACCCTGAACTGCACATCTTACGCCCGACAACACCGTAAACCCTAGACCCCTAAACCCTAAACCCTTTTAAACCCTAAACCTACAACCGACCCCTAACACCTTTCGAACCCTAAACCATTAACCTGAACCCTAAGACACTTGTCTGCTCAGGGTTAGCATCGGCAGGCCTGCTGGAGTTCTTAAACCAATCACAGTAAATTCTTTCTACCTAATACAAGGGCCTTCAGAAATAGAGTTGCACACAATTCCGGTTCGTTGATACTTGCACGGGGCTGGGTGGTGATCATTATGGAGTTTCCGGAAATAGGGGACCATACAATATATAGTACCTTATTGTAGGATCCTTTGAATAGTAGGATCCTAACTATGAGGACCCCCAAATAAGGCAGCCCCAGTTCGGAAACTCCCATTTAAAAATCCCTCTGGAGGCTCCGCTATGTTCTGAAACTGCCCAGTTGGCGAGGCCTCCTTCCGGGATAAGACTCCTCGATGCGCTGCCTGTCGCAGCACAAGAAGCAGGGCTGATTGGGGACCCCTGAATGATAATAAGGGTACACTTTTTCCTGCTACTATTCGGTTTTAGTAAGGGGCCCTACGGGAGAAAGCAAGGCGTTTTGACAGGTCCATGCACCCTCCTGGGATTGGGTTAAGGGCTTAGGGTCTAGGGCGGTTACGACCCGTAATGGAAGGGCCTTGCCCTGAATTCAATACGTTTTTGGATTCACAGGCAACACTCAACATAACTGAGACCCGAAAGGCGCTAAAAGCAAACGTGAACAGTCAATAGGCGGGCGAGACTGTTATAGCCCCTATGTGCAACAACGCGTGGGCGTTATACTGCTCCTGGAAGCCCTGCTCTGCATTCGAAAGGTCCCCATAGTCCCTGTAGTATAGGGGTGTTGAGGCTTTAGGAACGGGAGAGAGCTTACCCTAAGTATAAACTTTGGCCCCGAAGTACCTATATAGGGACTATGCTAGAGACTTTACGGCCAAAGCATATACTAGTTGAGCACATGGATGCTTAGGGTTTCGTAAGCTTCAAGGGTGGGGTTTCAAAGATCTAGCATGTTGACGGGCTTTCATTCTGCGAGTGTGTACAGTGCTCAATGTTCAAGAGCACGCACTGTCGGCCAGAAAAGTGGGGGATTCCATTTGGGTTTGGCTAAGAGCACAAGGCCACAAGGCTTGAAACAAAAGCTGTGGTCGACTGCAACTGGATCTTTGCAGCTGCCTCCTCTTGCTGCTTCTGCTGATCCTCCTTGCGAAGAACACCTAAACCCTAAAGCATGTAACCCCCCGTTAAACCCAGACTTGAAGAGAAGCGGCAACTGGGGATAGTTCAGGCATAGCTGGCTGGGCAGGTCGCGTGGGCGAGAGTGATAGGAAGCACTGAGCATGCCTCCAAACCCTCCCTGAGACGAGTAGCCAAAACTCTGGGCGCGAAGTACTGCATGCCGTCCCTCATCCAATGCGTTGAAAGTACCAAAGATCGGACTGAAGATGCTAATGCTAGCTTCACGGCACAGACAATAGTCTCAACTGTAACTCCAAGTTGCCCAAAATACAACTCGGGGCGCCTGGGTCGGGCTGGCCATGCTCTCATCCGGCTTCTCATGCTTCTCCTGTCGTTTAACGCATTCCTTCACACTTCAACAGCGCTTCTGATCTATAGCGGACGATGGGCTGAGACTCAACTGGATGGCAAGGATTTTTTGGGGTAATTGTCACCAGGATATGTGCCAAAGTAGATTTCAGCAGGCTTGCTTGCGGGCCTGAAACTAATGCCACCAATATAGAGGCCTGAGTGAATACCAATTCCTAGGGTTCCTTGATATATATATATATATATATAACAACACTAATAATAACATTAATAATAACAATAATAATACTGATAATCATAAAAATGACAACAATAATAATATATCACCAAAGCCCGAGTCTAATTATTAAGGCCACTATGCTATGCCGACAGCACCGCAACTATTCTCAAACATCGCTTCATTCCACACGCGCTCCAACCCCCTCGTCACCTTCCGCGCGAGGTTGCCACGATGGACCGCCTTTCGCCAGAAGCATGAAGCTCCGATTGGGTTTAGGGCCTGGGGTTTTAAGACTTTGAATGCAAACTGGGGGTTGACATCTTCTAGATCTTTGGGCTTAGTTTAGGTTTTGGGGTGTGATCGGACAAGTCTGTGATGGCAAACGAAACTAACATTAATGTGGGGTTTAAGGGAATCATTCGGGCAGGACAGATTCTGTCCCGTCATGCGGGGCGCCTGGATCTTGGTAGCTGCCTCCTGCTGTTGCTTCTGCTGATCCTCCTGACGTAGCACAATCCATCTTCACAGCGACTAGTATAGGGGCCCTAGTTTTTTGGAATAGGGTTTATATATATATATATATATATATATATATATATATATATTAATAATAAAAATAAGAATAATAATAATGATAATAATACTAGTAATAATAATAATATTAAAGAATAATAACAATAAAAGTAATAAGAATAAAAATAATAATAATAATAATGATAATAATAATAACAATATATTTAGAATTAGGGATCCCCAAAGTACCAGTAGTGATTATAGGGCCCAACATACTATAACTATATTTATAATAAGGGATCCCCAAAATATTCATGGTGATAATTTAGACCCCTATATTGGGCTACGCCTGCTTAGGATCCAGGATCGATGGCGCTTATCTGCCTGCATGTTGCTTCGACGTTCGCGCCGGTTCGGTCGAAACTCTTCCAGTGAAGCCCAAAGCAATGATCCTCAAGCAGAGCTCTCATTCCTACACTCTGTGGCGATGTAGTATGCGCCAATATTGAGTTGCCAGAAGATACCGTCAATCATCGAAGATTGGTTCAGGATATCGTAGAACCACAGGGCTCAGATGTCACTTCCTTTGAGCCCACACAAGTGCTTGATCTCAAAAAACGGAGGAACCGGGCTACAAATAGCTGAGAGTTCTTACCTCAAACAATAGTTGGCATGGCTATGCCCCTTTCCACAAAGGTTTCTAAGCTCCCAATGGAAGTCTGTGCCCAATGATTCGGAGCCTCCTTACAGCTCATGGGCTTGAGGTTTACAGTAGAAACCCAACAGTTGGAAACCCAATAGCCTCGATCCTGAAGAGTGATTCATAGGGAATCTCAGCACTATTTGGCCTCTTTTTGGCTTCCAACTTTATGGGGTTTACTGTAGGGTTATAGGGTGTAGGGGGCTTCCAGCTCTGAGGGTTCTAAAGTGCAGCGCTCTTCTTCAGCAACCGGGTGCACAGAAGTTCAAACTTCCTGATAGACCAAGTGTTTGAGGCCAAAAGGCCTACACAGATCTTGCAGTGGCCACCTAAGGTTGCTTTCAGTGTCATCCTGAGCGGTTTTAGACAACGGAGAAAGCATCCGGGTGGCGTGGTTTTCAGACTGTGTTTGGGGGGGGGCACTGCGGGCTGTATTGACACATTGGGGCAGATTTCAGATACCTTGAGACGTTTTGCGCAGAAGTTACTATGCCAATGATAAGGGTGATCCTAAACCTAATCCTGCTGGAGTGCTTTTGCACACTCCTAGCTCAACGAAGGAGGAGACACAACTACACACATTTTCTACAAGAGTACCTCCATTGCCCAGTCAGCGAAAAAAACAACTAAATCCGTTGCAGCCCTGCGAAGCACCTGGATCTTGCTGGCTACCTTCTCCTCCTGCCTGTCATGCTGCTCCTGGTGGGGTTATCACTCGTCTTCCGTGGACCAGAAAACTAAATGTGATGTCAGCATGACTAGACTTCGGTTGCTATACCCTACGCCCCAAACCTCAAAACGGTATGCATATAACAAGGAACCCTACGTGATCTGATGCTAGCGAAGAGTCTTTCTACCTTTTGGTGACTGGTGACTGGTGTTGCTTCCAAAGGAACCCTAAAAGGGTGTTCAAGGGCTCTTTTAAGAAAAGCTTTAAAGGGGGCTCCTTTAAGGGACCCTTGCACCCCAAAACCCCTAAACTCCTAAGACCTAAACCAGTCTGGAGTGTTAACGGAACCCTTATACAGGTACTTTGGGGCCAAAGTAGATATGGGTGGTTGTCAAAATTATGATCCCTTTTTGGGTCCCTAATATAGTACGGCACCTAATATTTAGGGATACCCAGAAAGGGACCATAATTTCCACACGCACCCATATGGGAGTTTCCAACAATAGGGGACCCCAATAGAGTACCTTACATAGTAGGACCCATAAGGACCCCCAAAATTAAGTGCCCCTAACTTTCGGAAACTCTGAACCCTAAACCCTTTATAGAACCCTCATAGACCCCTTAGAGGAACCCTTAAAGGATCCTTTTAAAGGTACCCCTAATTTTCGGAAACGCCTATTCGGGTACATGGACCCTTGCCTGGTTGAGGTGTCGACTCGGGGCTTCGGGCTGCTCGGTCTTTGGCCCTAGGTTTAGGGGTTTAGGGGTTTCGGGTTTAGGGGGTTGGGGTTTAGGCTCTAATCCAGAATAGAATCTAGAATCTGGTAGAGTCGTGCTTCTGTGGCTCGAAAAACCCGATTTCAAAGCTCAGGAGGCTCAAGTTTCAAAACTACCTGTAGTCTCCATTGTAGTTGCTTTTTCGGGTTGACCAATTTTATGGTTAGGATCCGATAATAGAGATTCTGGTTAGCCAAAGAAGGAACTACAATGGAGACTATAGGTAAACCAGAACCAAGCTGGTTTCAAGAAAGCTCTCCACGCCCCTCCAGAAAGACACCGACAAGCGCCTGCAGTGGCCTCTGTCTACATCTCTGGGTTGTAGTTTGGGGGCTCTGAAAAGTATTTATGAATAGGTACCTCTATAGGAACCATAAGGGCAATTAACAAGTTTCCCAAATTGCTACCTAGATCTGCCTTAATGCACACCTCGCTTACAGCAATTGGCAAGTCAAGGGTCTCTACCCAAAAAACGATCCTGCACAAGTAGCGGTAACACAACCGTTCGGCAGCAACTCACTGGAGATCCTGCTGACGGCTGAAGCATGTGAGGTCTTTCGTCTCTCGATCCTGACCCGCAAGGGTATGTATCTAGTTATCACTCTATAAATAAGATGACCTGACCGTGCCCAAACCTTGCAGCGTGGGCTGCCACAATTTGAACTGGCAAAGAACACCGACCCACCTTCCGGGCGAGGTTGCCGCGATGGACGGCCTTTCGCCAGAAGCATGTCCCAGAGTCATTGCTCACAACTTTGGATGCACATGCCTGCGTCCCACACGCTGAGTGAGATTGCCTTGCGGCTCCTACCCCACTCGTGCGACTAATGCAGGGGCCTTGTAAATAGAAGCAGGTCTTGGGGCCCATTATACTATACTGGAACTACCAGAATAGTGGCGGTAATTATTTGGGCTCCTATTTTTGGGTGCCTGGATCTTGGTTGCCGCCTCCGCCTGCTGCTTCTCCTGATCCGCCTGATGCGGTACGCGGCACTCTCATACTTAAGTATCTGCAGCAGTGCGACACGCTGGACAGCACAATCTCAACCCTAATCCCAAAAAACCTCAACCCGTAAATCCTCTAAATCCGAGCCCCCTAGAACCCTAAAGCCTCTACACCTAGTTTTGCTACCACCAACCGCACGCAACTGGCCCATGAAGACTCTGCATCAGGGCTCGGGGGTTAAGTAAGGGTCTGTAGGCTTTGTGGCTTAGGGTCTTTATGGTTAGGGGTATAAGGATTGCTGGACTTTCACATCTACGCTGTAAGCTAGGCCGAACAGCTCCGATCAGATTAGGGTCAAGGAAAATCCCTATCCATAGGCTCCATATTAGTTCCTTGCTGGGATTAGCTGTATAGCATTCCAAAACGTCCCACAAAAGGAACGACAATGGAGCCTATGGGTATAGTCTGACAGTATCCCTACCCTCGACCCTAAACCCAAAACCACCGAAGGCGTGTCTGGATCTGAGCGGCCTCTTTCTCATGGCGGTGGTCCTGTCCTTCCTGGCCATGTGGGGGTTTCCGAAAACAGGGGACCCTACCTATAGTCTCCATTGTAGTTCCTTTTTTGGTTGCCAGTTTTATGATTAGGATCCTATAGTAGAGATTTCGGTTAACCAACAAAAGGAATTACAATTGAGACTATAGGTAATATGGTACCCTAAATAGTAGGATCCTTAGTTTCAGGGCCCCAAAATAAGGTACCCCCAATTTTCGGAAACTCCCATGTGGGGCTGGGCCATTGGAAACTAAGTTCCGGGGAATGAGTTGCAGTACGATTGAATATATACCGATGTAGTGGAGAGATCGCATGATGACTAACTGTTCAGTGGTCCGCAGAAACCCCCGCCAAATTGCACTCTTCAACTCAAATCTAGCACTCTAGCACAGATAAGAGCACAAACCCAACTTGTGAAACAAGTTTGGACGGATCGCCGTTGCTTTTGGAAACAATTGCAGCCAAATCCAGTCAAAGTCACAGACGACAGGAAGCATCAATCTAAAGCATCGCACCTTCCGGGCCAGGTTGCCGCGATGGACCGCCTGTTGCAGGTTACATAATGGAAAGCTCCGTGGCACCTTTGAAGTTAGGACCAGGAAGGTTGCTTCAAGGGTTAGGCGCCATCTGCTCCAGAGGGTGTCGAAGTTGATTTGGGTTTCGAGTCTTTCTGCACGCAGCCGCAAAGGGCCTCACAGGTCTTGCCGTCTGCAGGTGTCGGATGCTCGAGAGGGCTTGCAGCTTCTGGGAAAAGCAGCCCTTTTATTTCAGAGCCTATCGCCACTCATTCGATGACAGTGCCTGAATCTTGGTGGCCGCTTGCTCCTGCTGCTTGTCTTGATCGGCCTGCCGGCAGAGAGCAGCATGCTCATCATAATCTGAAGCTGAGACATCGGACTCACAGATCTTAAGAAACCCGACGCCCAATACCCCAAAAACCTCGCACGATGTGTTCCATACCTGGGTACAAGATTTAGGCATCTACTCCTGTCAGACAGATCCAAAAACCTGCAATCCATGGGCGATAACCGCAATCATTACAAACTGGACAACAACTTGTGGGTCAACTGCCTGCATCTTGGCAGCCTCTTTTTCTTGCTGTCGGTCCTGTCCCTCCTGGCTCCGTGGGGCACGGAATTCCTAAAATGCTCACACCTAGGACCGAAGACCGCTAATACTTGCAGTTCCAACATAAATAAGCCCTTAGTTGCCTACCTATCTGTGAGTTTCCAAATAGGGGACCCTAAAATAGTACCCCCAAATAGTAGGATTCTGATTATAAGGACCCATCATGTAGGGTTGGCAGGTGTTGAGGGCTCGTTGCTTTCTGTCGCGGTTGCATGCGGTCACAGGCCAAATACCTCAATCTAAAAAGCAAGGAACATCGTTGCTGGCAACGGATGAGGGCCCAGGTCCTGCATGCAAGCTACCCATGGTCTCCATTGTAGTTCCTTTTTTGTTAAGCAGTTTTTGCAACCAGAGGAACTACAATGGAGACTATAGGTAGGTCAGAACTAGCTCCATCGTCCACTTGTCAAGCGAGCCAGATTTCGAGGTCGTTTGTCTAAAACAGTGAGGCACACGCCCCGTCCAACACTCTGAACAACATCACCAAGATCCAACTTATCGGGATCCAGCCCTGTCCTTTAGAAAGCTCCCCTGTCTGGCTTCCGACTCCGACCCACTGAAAGCCTAAGACAACCACGGCTTTTACTCCACCACCTGCGACACGACACGACCTAATGTAGGGGCTATAAGACTCAGAATTGGGTTTTGAAGGGTACATTATCGTATATGTAGGTATCATCGGGAACCCTAGGAATAACATTCGCGCAATTATTCCGGCCTTCTTAGACTAGAACCAATAAGCTTGGCCTTAGCCGTAGCCCCGACCTAAAGCACCCCACACCTTCCGGGCGAGGTTGCCGCGATGGACCGCCTGTTGCAAGGCAAGAATAGTACCTCTGAAGTTACGAACAGAAGGCTGCATATGCACATTTTAGGCCATGCTTGAAACTTTCGAAGTTGTTTCTGTTTCGAGCCTTATATGAACGATTTGGTGAAATTGAATATCTTGGAGTCATCCTTTGCTCGATGTATAGTGTCGGATTCAAGCGTTGCTTGATGCGCAAGCCCAACGGCGACTTGACTCGACGAGCATACAATTTTCAGGTTTTCTTTGGCTTTGTCTCTTAATCGCATCTTTTCCTTTTGAGGGCCTTTTCTGTCGCTCGAGCTCTTTTTGGGTTTAGGGTTTAGGGTGTAGGGTTTGGGCTTTAGTGTGTCCAGTGGTTAGGGCAGAGTCGTGCGCAAACGGTGCCTGGATCTTGGTGGCTGCATCGGCCTCGGCCTGCTGCTTGTCTTGTTCTGCCTGCGCCGGTGCACATCAGAACGAGTCATTTATCCCAAAGGGTCCCAAGTACCGATATAGTAGAATGTAGGGTTTCTATATTAGGAATTACTATTATGATTTGGGGAAGTATTCCCCATACCGATACATTGGACCCTTTGGGTATGTAATGTAAGGTAAGGTAGGGTAAGGCATAAGGTAAGGCAATGTATGTGTGTCTGTGTATGTATGCAGGTAACGTAGGTATGTACGAAGTATATATGTACGTAAGTGTGTACATAATCTGCTGCTGTTCCCTGCTAGCCCGCTTCAGCAAGAGCCACTACGACTTACTGCAATATGCCCTCCTATCCTACCACAACGCGCCGGCAAATACGCCCCGGGGCTCTGCAGCGGTGCGTCCCGAACACTAAACCGAAGGCCCAGCTAAGGGCCTTACCAACAATGAATCGCAAGATACGCACTAAGAAATTGCAAGACTTGGGCATCTGCTCAATGAAGAAATACCCTAAGACTCCAAGTACACAAATAGTACTTACTTTGGGGTCTAAAGTCTACAAATACGACCTATGTTGGGCTATTTGGAGTCTCGGGGATACTCCACAAGATCCAGCGGGCCAGAGGGCTCTGATCCCTAATGTTGCATGCGAGAAAACGACTTACAGTAGAAGCCAAAAAGTTGGAAACCCAATAGTCTCAATCCTTAAGAGTCATCTATAGGGAATCCCAGCACTATTTGGCCTTAATTCGGCTTCCAACTTTATGGGGTTCACTGTATGGGTCAAGTGCCTGCATCTTCGCGGCCTCCTTTTCCTGCCGTCCCTCCTGGCAACGCCGGGCAAGGCACTCTGCAACTGTTAGCCAAAGGGGAAAAGGAGGGACCCTTAATGGAGATCCCTAGCCTATAATGGGCTTTATAATGGGTATATAATAGCTATATTAAGGGTATATACCTAGGGGTCCTTATTAATTAAAGGTCCCTCCTTTTAGCCTTGGAGTTAGTGTATATATGTGTATACAGTCTCTACAGGCTAGATGCCCAAAGGGTTTTCGGAAACGTCATGCGGATCGCTTGCTGGGTAGCCTTATACCTGTATCGAGAACACTCCAACTTCTGCGGAGTTCATTTTCATTCCCTAAGGTCGATCGTGCACCACACAGTTTCCGACTTCTGATCCTGCGGCTCTAGGTGGCGTTGTTAATTCGAAAAACCTCCCTTTAAGTATGCTTTCAGGGGTTCTGTGAGAGCTACTCTAGGGTCCCTTTGTAGTCTGAATATTTCGGACAGGGCTCTGGAACCAGCATAGTGAATGTTCAGTGCCTATCCCAAGGGATCTAAGCATTCATATGTTAAGGCTTTTCGGGCCAAAGACCATACTATGTAAGGCTTTTGGGAATACATACTCTAGGGGCCTTGATCATTAGAAGGGGGGTTTCGGGGCCCATGATACTATAATTATACTGAGGACCCCCCAAAACAGTATTGGCAATTATTTAAGCCGCTATATTACTCCGAACATTTCGGCCGGCTGCGATGAGATGCATGACTGGTGCTACTGTATCATCGAAAGCTTAATATAGGGACCATAATAATCAGAATAGGGTTTGGGGGGCCATTATACTGTAATCTATAATAAGGAACGCCCTGCCAAAATAGTATAACTAACTAGCTATTTATTTAGGCCCCTATAGTAATATTGCAAAGAAGAGAACCACGGAGTTCCAACCTTGACCTGAGCCCAAAACACCGCACCTTCCGAGCGAGGTTGCCGCGATGGATCGCCTGTTTCAGGTTGCGGGACGGAAAGGTCCGTGGCACCTCTGAAGTTACGATTGTAGGCTCGTCTGCAGGGCCCTATAAACCCTAAACCCTTTAAGTGCTGACTATGCGCTGCTGCTGTCCAGGCCCACCCCCTGATCGGCCTAATTACAGGAGCCGGGCGTCTCAGACGAATTCTTCGGTAATGTTGTGCAAGCCCTGTCCTTTCCGAAAACTGCAAAGGTGCAGCTTCTGGAAGTAGCAGCCTCTTATACCCTAAACCCTAAAATAAACCCTAAACCCTAATTTAGACCCTAAACCCTAAACCACTTCAGAGCCTACCCGCCAGTCACGCAAAGCAGTTGCCTGGATCCTGGTGGCCGCCTCCTGCTGCTGCTTGTCCTGATCGGCCTGCCGCTGCAGCATCTGCGATCCGAACTAGACGGCATAATTCAGCTCATATATATATATATATATATATAGTGTGTTGTATATATATATATATATACATATAGACATGTATATCTATATATAACATATTTACATTTCTCATTTACCTGCGAGCTGATACTGCTGCTTATGCCAACAAAAGTCCTCAGAAGCTCATCCTAAGCTTCACTTCGACCCAGAAGCTCGAAACATCGGGTGGCAACACGAAGGTATCAACACAAGCTAAGAGGGTCCCTATACCTCTCTAATTTAGGGCCTTAATAATTAGAATAGGGTTGGGGGGGGGGGGGGCATTATACTAAAGTCATAATAAGGAACCCCGGAAGAGTATGGGTAATTATTTCAACCCGTATATTCATCACTAAAACCGGAGATTAAGCGGCCCTGCCGGCAAAGGGATGCAAGTCAAGAACGACATGTGGATCAAGTGCCTGCATCTTGGCCGCCTCCCTTTCCTGCTGTCGGTCTTGCCCCTCCTGGCGATGCGGCGGAAGCATTCTACATGTTTCAGTTCGTTCAGGCCTGCATGATGCAGGTTTTGTGTAACTCAGTAAAAGCCACCAAACACGCTCACAAACATTCAACACGAGGTGTATTGCAGTAATGTACCGGCACAAACCCCTAGTGAACACCCGCATTCAAATAAATGTGCATGTGCATAAACATGCACGCATGTACGAATGTATGGACATGTAATGTATAGAACACATGACTGACTGCCTGACTGACCGACCGACCGACCGACTGACTGACTCAATTAATGAACGAACGAATGCATGTCTGTATGTATGTACGTATGCATGTATGTATGCACCTTATGTTAAGATGTTTCTGTCATAGGGGCTCGAAGTTACATTCACCTGGACGTGCTCCGCACCGGCAAGCGTTCAAGTGCTGCTGTTGCTTCCGTGGGTTAAGGGTCTAGGGTCTCGGGGCAGCTCATCGTCAAGGAAAGACCTAATTACACAAACACTCACTCGTGGCAGTCTGCAGAACCCGCTGTGAAGGAGGGGTAATCCTACCCCGAAGCCAGGGATCCACAATTGGGAAGTCCTTTCATCAGTGCTTGGATCTTCCGAACTGTTCGCACGCCCACGGTGGATTCTAACCCAGAACGGTCGACAAAAGCCTGTGTTCTGAAGAACCAACCTTGCACGGGCTTTCGGTCGCAGCTACCTTCTGCCCTCAACCAAAAGTGCCGTCGCACCTTCCGGGCGAGGTTGCCGCGATGCACCGCCTGCAACATACCACTACAAGGGTTCTATATAGCAGTTTCCGAAAATCACGGGTACCGTATCTGGGGCTTCTATGAATAAGGATCCTACTACACAGTTTACAATATTAGGGTCCCCTATTTTTGGAACCCCCCCTATAAGGTTTTGGTTAGGAGGCTCAGGGTTGAGGAGTTTAGGGACTACAAGGGTTCCATATAAGGCTTTGCTTCGGAGGCTTTGGGTTTAGGGTGTAGGGGGCCTCTTTCAGAGAAAGAACCGGCTCCCTCAACAGCGGGGGCCCTGGACCCCAACTCGAGTTAAGTGACGATCAGCCGTAGACCGGTTAGAAGGTTTAGGGTTTAGGGTTTAGGATTTAGGATTTAGGATTTAGGGTTTAGGGATCAGGATTTTTGGCGCCGTTTTGGGGGCGAAGCTCGGATTCACTGACTGTGTGGGCTTTCTGCAAGCCTAGACAGTTCCGAGCAAACCAGAACCCCTAAACCCTAAGCCTAAACCCCAAACCCCAAACGGCCGCTGGCACGACGAAGGTGCCTGGATCTTGACGGCCGCATCCGCCTGCTGCTTCTCCTGATCAGCCTTCCGGTGCAAGTCGGCCCGTTCATCAAAACCCTATATAGCCCTGGACGTAAATCCGTCGTAAACCCGTCGTAAGCCCGTTAAGCCTGAGTTTTGGGTTTGGGGTCTAGGGGCTGAACCTTATGCCCGAGTTTGCACAAGGTTGACAAAGGTTGAGTTGTAGCCCTTTGGTATCCCGGCAGCCAAACACTACAACCTGCATGAATCAAGTGCCTGCATCTTGGCCATCTCTTTTTCCTGCAGGTCGTGTCCCTCCTGGCAAAATGGCGCGTAGGCATTCTGCAAACTTCAAGCAGGAGAAGAAGAATGGTTGCTGCCCATCCATACCCAGTTGCAAGATCTGAGACGGCTCTCGGGAGTCAGCATCTGGGCAAAACTGTCTCTGGGCCGCTAGGACTGTTTTGCTGCGGTGTTCAGGCCAAACTGGTGTATAACACATCACAAAAGTCCGGACATGGTTCAATTCCTACTAGTGCATTATTCAGCTTTTGCGCACGTCATGGACTAATAGACTCTCTTCTTCAGCAGCAGAAGAAAGACGCCGGACAACTCCACTAACGAACTTGACGATCACAGTGTCACGTACGACCCGCTAACAACAAAACAGCAGATCGGCTACCTGAACCCTGAACCAAACATCCAAGGAAGGCCCATATGCTGTGCTGTCCAAGCTTACCGGAGCTTATTGGTCCCTTCGTGATCTTTTTCGCGAATACATGCACACATGTATTCATGTATATGTACACCCCATACGTATACGCACTAAACAGAGTTTAACGTATAATACACATGCATACACATCCTTTGAAACATACATTGGCATGCATGCATCCGTACATACGTACATGCATACTTCCATATATAAGTAAATACATACATACAGCTGTGCATACATGCATGCGTGCATACATACATATGCCGAACACATGCACGCAAGTTTGTAGAGTATGCACAGGCAGATGTGGCCTTCCGCGCCATATTGCCACGATGCACTGCCTGCACACTGATGCAGTGCATGCAAGAGCTAGTTGCCTGCGGCTTGGTCCTCGCAGTATTCAAGGTCTGTTGGACCAGATCCTTTGGGTACTGAGAAAAGTTCACGAACCCCTTCGAAACAACGACCTGCCGTTGTGAGACTGTGAGAGGATCGCGGACGACAGTGGCTGCTGTGCTGCAGCGATCGCTCCCATCCCAAAGACGGAACACCGGTCTGGCATACACGGCCAACATCAGCATCATCATCAGCCTCACATTTTTCTTCTGTCTTTTTCGTCATCACACAGCAACACAAGGATGACCGCCGCCTACGACATTGCGGCACCCATGCAATCACTACCATGGACATCAGCGCGAACAGCTACAAACAGCACAAACATCTTGAGCCTAATGACAGCCATGCTTGCCTGGATCTTGGTCGCTGCCAGGTCTTGCTGCCTGTCGTGATCCGCCTTGCGGTGCAGGGCCCCGGGCCCAATGGCGCTTGGAGTTCAAGACCCAAGCGCTCAACCCGGAATCAACATCAGCCACGGCTGAGTAACATCCGACACTTCATGGTGCAGAACGACGAGTTACTAAGCCCGCCAAAGGAAACCAGAAACCTTAACATAAACGGCTCAAACCGTCAAAGGCGTCAGCTCGACTTCTCAACGACCGACCTTCTAACCAAATGACATCAGTTGGAAGAACAGGCGGGACCTTCATCAAGTTACGCGAGCCAATGCAGACACTGCATATGACATACCGCATAATCAGAACAGAGTTCGGATGCTATTGTAATGAAAACCAGGAACGCTTAGGCGTCATGCCGCCGCTAAATTTTGAGGGTTCGATATTACTGGCAACTTGAACGCAAAAGCTTCGCGCCTTAATGTTTCCGGGTACCGAATATCGGGGCTGACAAACTTAAAGGATCCGTTCATCCTTTCAGCATGTTGTTGGGTTTTCGAGAAACACTATGATATCGGGGCCATAATATGCCATAATGATTTTAGTAAGGTCTTGGAGTGTCTTACGCTGCACAGATGCAACGGTTTGAAGGATGATACTATTACAACATTGACATGTTCCGATCCCTACAGCCACCCTCACCTTAACCCAAACCGTGACAGCATGACCCCTAGATACCTGGATCTTGGCGGCTGCTTCCTCCTCATGCTTGTCATGAAGATCCTGGCAGTCACAAAACCGCTGAAGCAAGCGTAGTTGAGGGGCCTGGAAAACTTGAATGGGGTTTTGAGGTACATTTTGCAGAATGTGGTGATATTGAGATAATTGAGATATATTAAAACACCCAATCTAGTCGGTTTAGAGGTATAACGAGTCATAAGATTTCTTGTCGTTGTTATTCGGCTGTTGTCGATGAGGGAGTTCAGGGTTTAGGGTAGAGCTGCGGTTCTATAATGTAGGGAGCCTGCAGCCTTGGACCCGGGTTCCTTAAGTGTTCATGGTTTAGAGGACTTGGACTAGGGTTCCTTAAAGGGTTGCCAGAAGGGATACAGCAAAGGTACCCGCCCTACATGACATAGAATGGGATTCTAGATATTCAAAAGACATACGGGCTGTGACTGAAAGTATATGATAAGGTATTCTAAAGGCTCTAGGGTATTCAATAAGGCATGAGGGTATTCTATATCAGTGCATTCCATATGAAAGGTTTTAAGATACATAGGGAAAGTATTCTAAAGGACATCCTGCAAGATATTCTATATAGTGTCTTGTATAGAGTGTCCTATAGGGTATGTGTAATATAATGCGTGCGGGGTGTATCATATTATAGGTGGTCTTGTAGACGGTATGCGCAAGGATATTCGGATTGATTTCTAAAAGATATAAATGTTATGAGAGTGGAATTTTGCAAAGTATTCTTAAATGTAATCTAAAGGGTACTATATTGGTGAAATGCAAGGTATTGAACCCTGGAAATATCGATAGATTTCGTGTTCACGGATATTATCTATAATCCCGATGCGTCTTATATATGGGAGGTGTAGAAATAGGGTCCTCTTTTCATATCTATACTTGTCGAAATACGGGATGACAGATTTTTGCTCTCCTGTTGCAGCCTCCTGGGATGATCCCTATAGTCTCATTGTAGTTCCTTTTTCTGGTTAACCAGACTCTCTTTTCTAGGATCCTAACCATAAAACTGGTCAACCAAAAAAGGAACTACAATGGAGACTTTAGGTAGAATGGAACCTTCTGAAGCAAGTACACCGAAACCCCTCAATCCCCAAACCCCGGACACCCTAAACTACCCCAAATCACCCCAAAAACGAACCTGAAACTCACTCCGGTCAAGCTCCTCAAGCCCTTCCCAAAGCCCGAAGGCTCAAAAGTCCGCCAAAGACCTCAGAACCCCCGGCACCCCTAAATAAGCCTCTGCAGACCCTCAACCCACCTTAAACCACCTTACCTATAGTCTCCATTGTAGTTCCCTTTTTTTGGTTAGCCAGTTTTATGGTTAGGATCCTATAAGAGATTATGGCTAACCAAAAAAAGGAACGACAATGGAGACTATAGGTAATCAGCCTCCGAAGACAGCTTGAAGCCCTGGAGTCAGCTCCCTGCACCCCTGATTGAATTCCTCATGCTCCCTGAAGGCCTACAAAAACCGCCAAATACGGTTTAGGGTTTAGGGTTTAAGGTCATTAAATCATTAACTATAGTTGTGTACATGAGAACCTTAGTCGAGCATAAACGCCATTCATCCCAGCCTATCGACTCCCTATAACTACCGAAGACGATGCCACTGATGATCATCTCCCTAGGTCAATCACATTCAAAATACCAAGACCTCCCTTGCTCTGCGCTCCTTCATTGCCTTTGACGCGTCGGCCTCTGCCCGAGTGACCTTGTCAGACCGGGGCTGTGGATTTTGCTTGTCAAGGGGCTTAGGGTTTACCTTAACCCCGAAGAACCTACAGTTTCAAGGACTTGTATTAAGAAATCATAATAAGGAACCCTAAAGGGTAGGTTATTCAGGGTTTAGGTAGGGCTTAGGGTGTATAGGGTTTATACAGTAGGGGAAGTTGCTAAGGGTTGTCGCTGGAGTGTTCTATTCAATTTATGGTTTGAGCTTCGGGCTACATGAGAGGGCGGGGTTTGGCTTCGGCTCAAGACGGATTGTACGAGGGCTTCTATAGGGGGTTGAGATGGGGAGTTGGGAGGGTGTTGTGACATCTGTAGAAGGGTGTTTAAAGAAAGGCTTTACAAGACTCGATTCTGATGACTACGCCAAACCCTACCAATCCTGAATCCAGAAATCCCATGTCCCAAATCCACAAGAAACCTATAAACCCTAAACCGTAATCCTGAAAACACAAAACCCTGGATTCCCCCAAAGCCCTGTGCAGCATGTTGCGAGCTGGACCCAAAGCCGACGTCTTACACTCAAGCATGGAGGCCTTACTAGTAACCTAGGATACCCAGTAACCTAAGAATAAAAAGGCCTCTCTTTTTGGTATTGGGTAACTTTATAAGGAACCTAGGACTACAAAAAGGGAGTAAGGGTAACGAAGTATAGTAGAAGCCAGAAAGCTGGAACATGGCTTTAGGAGGATTAGTGCTAGGATCCCTTATACTTTACCTTAAGGGCATGAGGAGAATGATGTTCCAACTTTCTGGCTTCTACCATAAGCATGGAGGCCTTACTGGTAACTCTATGGGTTTAGAGGTTTATAGGGGTTTATACGGTTTTGGGTTCTGGGGTTTAGGGGTTTAGGGTTCTAGGGCTTGGGGTTTAGGGTTGCGGGATTAACTCCCCAGACCTTCCAAAAATCCCTTAATTAAGGAATATACCTTAAATTATACTAGGATCCCTAATATGAACTAAGGTATATTGCTCAATTAAAGGATTTTGGAAGGGCTGGGTCTATAAACCCACAAGCCCTAGAACCCTAAACCCAAAACCGAAAACCCTATAAACCCCTATAAACCCCTAAACCCCCGAAGCCCCGAAGCCCCGAAACCCTAAACCCCCCAACCCCAGAACCCTATAAGCCCCTAAACCGCTTAGGCCTAAAACCCCAAAACCCTGCAGCCCTATAACCAAAGCCCCAAGCGCTCCCAAATGCGACCCTATATCATAGAACCCTTATAAATCCCTATAGTAACGCTTATAAAGGGACCCTTGAAAGGCCCCTAAACCCTTTAAAGGCCCCTATATTAAACCTCCCTGCTGGAAGCCTGAGAGTTGACGAGCTGTCGGAGCTCGGAGAGCCTGAAGTCTTTGGCTTCGTCCGGAAGCTTAGGGTTTAAGGGTTTAGGGGTTTAGGGGTTTAAGGGTTGAGGGTTTAGGATTTAGGGGTTTAAGGGTTTAGGGGTTTAAGGGGTTTAGGCTTCTAGGGCTTCGGGTTTAGGGGCTCAGGGCATTGGGGCTTCTTAGGGGTTTTGGGGGTCTTGGGCTTCAGGGCCTTTCGTGCTGCTAGCGGCTTTCACTGGTTTGGGGCTTTTGGGGCTGATAGGGTTTCACGGTCGAGGGTATTTCGGGCTTGCCGAGGTCTGCAAGCAGTGTGAGGTTGGGGGGGGGGTTACTATTTTGGCCCTAAGCCCCAAACGCCCCAAACCCCAAATTAGGGGAACCTACAGGGATTATCAGTGCAGGTTGAGAGTTCCAGATTCTGAGTTGAGGATAGGAGAGCTAGGGCCGAAGGCCGTGGTTCTGGGCTTTGGGCGTGAAGCTTCAGGTTTGTGGCTATGGTCTCCGCTGTAGTTCCCTGTTTTGTTTAGCCAAGAAAGCGGCTTCAGAGTTTACATAGGGTTTAAGGGTTTAGGCTTGTCCGGCACTGGGAATCAAGCGGCTAACGAGTGTTCGGGACGATTTGGAAGAATCGAGATGCGGACGGGTCTGTTCTACCTGCTGTTCAAGAGGCTTCAGTGGGTCTTTCGTCTCGACGTTCGGATTCGCGAGCTGAACCTGTATACATGATTTCGACTTGGGAATAGCAAGCTTGCGCCCAACGACATGTGCACCCTGAACCTAAGAGTTGAAACCCGAACACTGAGTCCCAACACCTGTAGTGTTTCGTCCAACCTCACAAAATTCGATGACAACTACAAACACGACACTGTCACACGCAAGTGCGTGCGCGCGTGCACGTACATCGCAGGAACACACTGTAGTGGTTGTTGCCTCGTGCTTCACCCCCTACGTGTAGAAGCATAACTAACTAAGACAAGAAGGACAATCAGGGGGCTCGATGGGCACGAAGTATATCATGTAGCCATATATGAGTTTCTACATAACAAAATGTAATTATATATGTACGCAAAATGCGCACATACCGTACTGCATCACATGTACGCATATATGTAAAGATCAAACGGCTTGCACCTGCACTCGCAGACCCCACTACTTCACCATCTGCCGGGGCACTCATGAAGCATCGGCTCAAGCGACGCTGAGATGGTCTCCCGAAGAGACTGGCACAGTGGAGAGGCTTCCGGGTCTTGGGCTTCCACGAAAGGTTCCTGTGAGGGGTGCCCATATCCTATCCGTAAGGGTTGCGATAAGGAATACTCCCCAGGGTGCAGAAGGGGATGTCGAGGTTTGGGCCTGCGGAATTTTTGCTTGAGGGCCTTGAAGTGGAGTATTCGGGCTGGTGCGCTTCGATTCGGGGAGGAGCCTCAACGACCTGATGTTCCAGCAGACAGGGAAGCAGGGAACGGATGGATCCACTTGTTGCTAGTGACGGGTGTTCGGCAGGGTTCCGGGCAACCAAGGCAGAATTCAGCCCTACATATCGCGAACTTGATTCCCGCATCCCGCACGAAAATCAAAGGAACATAAAAGGAAACGCACATGCATATTCAAGCGCCTAGTGCACAATTTACGCTGAGGACTCAAGCCTCGTTGTGCACAGGGCTGGAGTTCAACCACAATGGCATTTAACGACAATGTAGCCCTTACCGTTGCTTAAAACTTGCTTTGCGCAGAGTTGGAGTTCTGCTGCACATGAAAGGCTCCGGCCGTGCAAGCTCAACCAGCCCGAAAAAAAAACGGCGCAAACGCCGTCGTCACCTTCGAAAACCTATTAAAGCACCCGAAACGCCTCCCAATAGTTTCCGAGCGAAGAACCGCAACAGCGATAGTATGCATACATGGTTTACATAAAATTTCATAGTCACAAGAGTCATTGCCCAAAGGCTCAGCACACAGCCTAACCCTCCCCGCACGCCTATTTCTACAGGAGACCTATATACATGAATCGGGTCTGAATAATCACGGATACCATTTACACAGTATAGTATAGTGCAGCCCAAACCCCTGCCCCACATCAAACGGGAGTTTCCGAAAATTAGTGGTACCGCGTTGTGGGGTCCTTATAATAAGGATCCTACTATTAAGGGTACTATTTCGGGGTCCCCTATTTTCGGAAACTCCCAAATGAGCAAATTCTGAGAAACCTAATAGAGCCCCTCCCCTAAACCCTAAACCCCAAACCCTAAACCCTAAACCCTAAACCCTGTCACGGGCACCTGCACACCACCAAGGCCTTCCGACGACATGACTTCGCTGGTTCAGGGCTTAGGGTTCTCATTTCGGGTTTTACCCTAAGGCTCCAAAGAGGGTCTTGGGCTTTCTGGGGGAGGGTTTCGGCTTAGGGGGCTAGGGTCCGGGATCTCACTACAAGGGTCCAGGAGCCTTAAGGTAGGGTTTCTCAAATTTCGGGCCTAAGTAACCCTAAGCATAGCCTTACGACACTGAACCTGGACATTTCATAGTGCTCGAAACTGACGACGGTAGCTGCTGCTATGAAGGTCGGGTTTAAGAGCATGTAGCAGTTTCCGAAAATAGGGGACCCCAATATAGTACCCTAAATAGGAGGATCCTTATTATAAGGACCCCAAAACAAGGTACCTCAGTTTCCGGAAACTCCCATGTAGGGTTGACGCTCAGGACCTTGAGGGCTTACCAGGAGCCCACAAGGATGTAACATACTGGCCGCCTTTGTAGGTCTTGAGCCGGTAGTATTTTACCGATTCAAGATTCCATCCGTACGCTTCAGGGGGTTAGCTTGCAAGTTTTGGCAGTACTGAGCCACCGATCGCCTGAAGCGCGCTACACTCTCAACATATGGGCGAAAATTGTAGAAGGTTCAAGGCACGAACCCTCTACCCTGCACCTGTTAGGTGTAGGGTATCCTTGATAATCAGAATAGGGTTTTGGGATATATGGTACTGTAATCAAAATCAGGAAACCCCCAAGCCAGTACTGGCAATTATTTAGGCCCCTAAAGATACCTTATGAGAAGCTGTGCTCCCGCGAAAGGGCGTGTTTGCGTTTTGCTCATGTACAGGACCATAGTTAGTTTGGGTAAGATGTGTGCGTTCATGTACCAGGTTCATATTGAGTTTTTGCAGGGTGCACTACTCTTGCTAATTATTCGACCCCCATGTGGCACAAGCTTTGTGGACTGTCGGTTGATTGGCTGGCTCTGTTTCCGTGAATGCTGTGCACCGTCTACCCTGCCAGTTTGCATCTACCACGCCAGTTTCGGTTTAGGGTTTTGGGGGTTTAGGGGTTAGGGGTTTAGGGGTTTAGGGTTTAGGGGTTTTGGGTTTAGGGAGTTTTGGAAATAACCCTCAATGCTACAACTGAAGGGTCGATGACGGTTTGTACCCCTAGGGATCTAAGGACTCATATATTCATTGGGTACGGCCCCCACTCAGTAATAGTTGAGCAATATTCATAATATAGATATAGTAGGACCTTTATACTAGCCCTATTATAGACTCTTACTGTATGGGGGCCGTACCTAATACATTCAGGCTTTTGGGCTGGTTTGATCCCTAGGGTATATTGCCACGTTCAGGTTCTGAAGCCTCAAGAGCACGAAGGATGGACGGCTTGTATAAACCCTAAACCCTAAACCCTAGGCTTTGTAAGTTGAGGAAGTCTCATCGACTCCTCGAATTTCGAACTGCGCAGAATCAATCCTTTTCAGGCCGTAGCTGGAGAGCCTCTATAAGGGTAACTTTAAAGGGAATCTATATAGGATTGTAGGGGTCAGGGATATAAATCCTGCATTACCCGTAACATTGAGTAGACCATAATTCCCATAGTTTGGGGTCCTTGCGGTATTGCAGGAATTATATCAGCAACAGTACAAATTATAGGTGCCAGGTGGAGCATGATCAAAGGGGAGAAGGAGGGACCCTTAAGGGGGACCCCTAGCCTATAATGGGCTATAGAATGGGTATATAATAGCTATATTAAGGGTACAGTATATACCTAGGGGTCCTTATTAAGGGTCCCTCCTGTTACCCTTGGACATGATGTTGGGGTAAAGGCAGCTGCCTACGTAGTGTGGCCACCTTTACCATGGCTATGTAAGAAGAATAGCTGCTAATGTAAACTCCTGAGTAATCAAGACCTTGAAGGTCTGAATTTGAGGATCTCTATCACGACCTCAACAAGGAAATCCTAAAGCCAAAACCGTCCGGAAACCGTGATTTGTCCAGCATTGACTTTTGATTCTACGATTGTGCAAGCTGCCAAAATAATCTGCAAAAGCCTTCCTTACTTTATCGTAAGGCTCTCTACTACAACTACCCTCAACCCGAAACCCTTCACAACCCGAAGCCCTAAACATCCCTAAAACGTGAACCCTGAACCCTTCACCCTACGTACAACATAGACGAAAGCCCCTCTCTCGACTTTGCGGCCCCCTGTATTGACTGGGCATCGATATCAATACAGGGCCTTAATATTTAGAATGGGGCTTCGGGTTTAGGGTCATAGGGGGGTATACAAATGGTGCAGTCAAGCTTACCCGAAGGGTCCATGTACCCACCTTACATATACTTTGTCCCAAAAGTACTTCGAAAGGCGACTACTTCAAGGCCACAGCACATACTAGCACATGCATAGGGGCCCTTAGGGGGGTAGGTGGGAGGGAGGTAGGGGGCCTTAATACACACAAAATAAGGAATTATCAGGTGTATTTTTGGAAGTATAGTCCCTAGCACCCCCCCCCTACCCCACTAAGGGTCCCCATCATACATAGGGCCCTTGGGGTTGAGGAACCCAAAGGAATCATGTATGTCATCCTCAGCCTTTTACAATGCAGAACCCTTTGTACATTCCTGTGAAGAACCCTGAGAGTATTGGGTGATTTTTTGATCTTCGAAGCCCTTACAATACTATCTCAACCTGCCAAAACCAACCTTTTGGCAAGGTCCCTATAAATTTCACGATAGGTTGTGTAATGAGAACCTAAAGAAGAATAGGTTATGGCAGTTTAAGGTAGTCGTAATTTCGGCTCCTATATTACCCTATACACCACTGAAAGGAACCCTTGAAGGAGCCTATTTGGGCACATGCACCCTTAGGGTTAAAGAAATGGCCCAAGCCAACCTTCCACTTCCGCGCGGAGTTCGGCAAGGCCCTTTCGCATCTCCTTGAAGTGTCAGGGCCCTAAGGGTCCATGTACCCAAATAGTATATACTTTGGCCCCAATGTACCTATATAGGGACTACTTTAAGGCCAATGTATATACTATACGGGTACATGGACCCTTAGGGGTTCAGGGTTTAGGGCTCCTTTCAGGGATCTCCCGGTGTCCGGCCGCCACGTTTTAGCACCATCCACGGTGAGCTCAAACGAACGCGTCTTTTCTGCCTGGTCTTGGGTTCTGCTTGCGGTGAGACGCACTCCGAGGCACGGCTGAAAAACCTAGCTCATCTTATCTCGTTTAGACACCAAGCCCTGCCAGCCTCAAAGTCACCAGAGCGACTTTGCACACTGGTCCCCAATTGTTTAAATTTCATGGTGCGGTGCTCCTGCACCCAGAGCTCCACACTAAAAGTCTGGCACTTAGAAACCTCGGACGGGTTCGTTGCATGGACTGCTAATTAGAAGCTAATTACTTCATGGAGGCGGCAATGCAGTGCAAGAGTCAGGGATTGGGAGCTTAGGCTGTTCTGGGTTTAGACTTGCAAGGATGCATCCATGCATGTCAACACCAGTCCGCATGCGCGCCCCAGGTTACCACAAATCCGCTGCGCAAGATTGCAGCGAAGACCTTCTTGCAAGCTTGAATCTGCTGCACATCCTTCAGCTGCTGCTGAACATGGCTACTGTCACCGCCATTTTCGGGATGACCCCAGGTCACAACAGACCCATCATTCCGGATGGCAGCAAATGCAAACTCGGTGCCTTGGATCATCTTCACATTCGTCAGCTGCGCTTGCATCGCACTGCTGTCACCACCTTCAGCTGCATCGCCCCAGGTCACGACAGATCCATCACCAAGGATGGCTGCGAAAGCGCCCCCAGAGGCTTGGATCTGCTGCACACTCTTCAACCGCTCAATAGCAGCGAGGTCTCCAGCATAGTCTGCGAAACAAATCTGTTGGTCCATTTCGCCCCACGTCACCACGGATCCGTCGCTCAAGAGAGCGGCAAAGGACCTCCTAGAAGCCTGGATCTGCGTTACAGCTTTCAGTTGATCCTGAACATCGCTACTATCACCTCCATATTGGAAATCACCCCAGGTGACAACCGAGCCGTTGCTCAGGACCGCAGCAAATGCTGCTTCGGTTGCTTGGATCTGCTGTACGTTCTGCAGCCTGACTTCAACGGAGCTACTGTTGCCACCGTAATCAGCATCTCCCCAAGTCACCACGGCACCATTCCCGAGGATAGCAGCAAATGCCGTGTAAGTAGACTGAATATGCCGAACATCTCTCAGCTTCTCCTTCACTTTGCTGCTGTCCCCGCCGTAGTCCTCGTCACCCCACGTCACCACAGATCCATCTTTGAGGATTGCGGCAAACGCGTTTTGTGTGGATTGTATCTGCTGAACTGTTGTTAGCTGGTCCCGCACAGCACTGCTGTCGCCACCGTAGTCGATATGACCCCAGGTCACAACGGATCCGTCGGCGAGTATGGCTGCAAATGCTCGAAAGGACCCTTGAATGTGCTTCACGTTCTTCAGGCAATGCTGCACGGCACCACTGTCACCGCCGCAGGCAGCATTGCCCCAGGTAACAACGGACCCGTCGGTCAGGATCGCTGCGAAGGCGTGGTGATTAGCTTGGACCAGGTTTACGTTCTTCAGTTGGTCTTGCGCAAGGCCACCTACGTTGACAACCCGCTGTAACACAAGGAACGATACTCACTGCCCACATGCAAAGCGTTCGTATCTAGATGAGAACCCGGAAACCGAAACTTACAGCTCGTCCAACAGCACTCTCAGCGCCGCTCTAAACTCCACCCCGAGAACCATGACAAGAACCATTAAACGATCTTCTGTGCCCATGTCGGCAAGCAAGCCAGGCCGCTGTCACCACCGAAGGCGGCATCACCGCGTGTAGTAACGGAGCCCTCGGAAAGGATGGCAGCGGCATACAGGGATGTTCTCACCTCGGACGACCCGCGTTGGGTTGAACGTATAAGTGCACCATCTGCCTTTGTGATGTCGACGAAGCGAAATGGCCTAACCCATATTATAGTACCCTATAAAGATCCCTTATAGTAACCCTTATAGTCCCTTTAAAGGAACCCTAAACCCTGAGTATTATCGAGTTTGCTTACAGGGCTTGAACTCAAAGCCAGCTGCACGCACAGTGCTTGCACCTGCACATGGTTCATCCTTCCCGTCGGCCAGAGCATGCTGCACCCGCTGCATCAGCTCCTTGGCTTGCATTTTCAGAACTTTCGTTATGTTTTGTCTGGTTGAGGTGCTGCCGGTGTGTACGGATGAACCTTGCGCCTCGCTTGTAGCCGCCGTTGTCCAGAGGTGCTAATGGCACCGTGCTAGATGGCTCCTATGAGGGTCCTGACTATGTGTCGGTGGTCATCTTCCTGCGCTTCTGCTGTCTTCGTTCATGGGTAGTTATAAGCGGGATTGTGAGTAGGGTAACTATACTTCTAACCCAGAGTAGCATAAGATGAGTACCGGTCTCGTCGCTTTGGTTCATCTGATGCATCGACAACACTACCACCGTCTCCCTCAGCCGATCACCGCATGTTTCGGCTCGAAGTTCCCACACTTCAATGGTATTTCGATGACATTGTGTCCCTGACATTATTAAAAAACGAAGAAACTTACCGAACATAAGAAAACATGACGCATCAAAATAAGGGAAAATCGAGGGCGGTTTCGAGTCTTTTCTCCGGGGCACACGAGCGCGAGCTTGTCGTGGAAGCGGATTGTGTTCTTTACACGTTGGCGTTCGTTCTCTGTTCCATGTCGGTACACGACACGATTTTTGGTATGTCGACACGTACTTTTGACATGGTGGTCCTTTTCTTATTACATGTCGGTACGCGTTCTTTTTGTGTTGACACGCACTGCTTTGAGCATGGTGGCACACGGCTTTGACATGTCCGCGGAGGTCTTCTGCAGGTCTACCTGTCGCAGGTGGGTTCGTCCAGGCCCCCTGCTCTCTCGTGGAAACCTTTCTCCCAGAGCTTCCGGATCAGGCCTTGCTTTCGGTTGTCGGCAACCCTGTATGCTGTCAGCTCCGAGTTAAGCTGCAGGTAGAAAAGCCGCCGCAGCCCCGAATCCTAAACCCACAGGCCCCATGCAGCCTAAACCCCACAGCACCTCATAAACGTCCGTAAACCTCACGAAGAACCGGCTATACTCATAAGGGTGGTTGTCAAAATCATGGTCCCTAATATAATACGGCACCTATTATTTCGGGTACCAAAAAAGGGACCCCCACTTTAACAACCACCCATAAGAAGGCCCGAGGTCGCCCACATAGGCGGCCGCGTCAGCCTCCACCACGACGCGAGGGCTCGGCAGTGGTTCCACCACGGGGCTCGCCATGGTGCTGATATGGATAGTTGGGGGCTTTGGTGCTTACCTTAAGGACGACATGAACCCTGAAAGGGTTTAAGGTTCGTATACCATATAGGGATTCATAGTGTATGGGCTTTGGGCCCCTGCTTTTAAGGGCTATTTGGTCCTTCAGGTACAAGGCCTTCGAGGGCAATTGTAGGCCAGTCAGACAACCCAATGCTATCAACAAAGTTGCTGGCAACAAGATGTTTCTGAAGTCCTGAAGTTGGCCCGGTGCAATCGATCCAGAGCTGAAAGGCATGCAGGGAGGCAAGGGTTTGGAGGTTTTGGAGTAAGGGTTAGGGTTTTGCATTTGAAGGCTTCGGGTGTACTGTAGGGGTTTAGGGCCTCCGTGTTGGAATGGTTTGGCTTCCTCAGACCGACAAGGGTCAAGCTCGTAGCTGTTCGAGACATAGATGCCGTGAGCTTGCATACAAACAACAGCTGAGTTCATGTGCACGACAGCACGAAGTCAGGAAGAAGCAGGTACATGACATACGCCGCTGCATGCCATGAGGGTGCAGCCTGAACCCTAAAACCACAAACCCGGGTGCTGAGGATCTTGTCTGAACCGTCGAAACAGCAAGTGAAATGTTTCTGAATTTCGGGAGCCGGAGCCTTTAAGTGGCATGTCCTTTATGATTTATGACTCTCTACCTTCACTCTACTTACCTTTGGTTAGTACGGAATGGAGGAATGGGGTACAACTATAGCTACTATTACTACCATTCTTCCATTCCCTACTAACCAAAGGTAAGTCTAGACACCAAACATGAAAGCAAAGGTCCTTCTGGATTTCCTCCATGTGAAGGCAGCGAACCTTTTCCACTCGGACGTGGGAACTCTCCGAGGGTTTCGGGCTGGAAGGTTGCTGCGAAGAGCACGCATAAGAGCACGCAACAAAGCAATTCCTTGAGTAGCATTGCAAAGACCGCAACAACTGCATAGACTTACTGCGCTGCACGGTCGGCTAACTTGGGATAAACGGGCGCAGCTCGGTATGTGTCAAAAGCTGCATGGAATTCCGTGCAGGGCTCCTGCATCACACTAATATAGGGGGCTTAATAATTAAAATTAGAATAGAGTTTCTTTATATAAGGGATCTATAAGGGTACTATAATCCAGGGGCGTTAGTCATAAGAATCGGGTTTTGGGGTATATATATATATATATGTATATATTCTGACAAAATCATGATCAGGAACCACCAAAACAATACAGGTAACTAATTATTTTAGGCCCCTATAGTACCACCCACCACCTTTCAAAACCTGCACGAACTTCGCAAAAAAAACACGGGCTCGAGCCATCGTGTTCAGTGATCGACATCTTCCCGCACAGAACCGTCTTAGGCGTCAATGAGAGCAAAGTGGTCCGATACTTTGGAACTGAACATGGGAAGCCTCAACTACTGCCCACCTCCTAGTCTTCTCAGGCCTGCTTGCTGCCTACCTTTGGCTGGGAGTGGAAGAATGGTAGTAATAGTAGTTATGATTGTACCCCATTCCTCCATTGCCTACTAACCAAAGGTAAGGCTGTTGGACTGGACCTGACCCAGATGGTTAAGATAAGCACCCAGGACGAAGTAGCTGTCCAGAGGAGCCGTCCCCCAAGCCCTCAAACATCAACCCTCAACCCTCAACCATCTGAGCAGGATTTTCTTTGACAGACCGATGGAGATGTTGCCAGCCGTTCACTGGAGGGTTTGGAGGCTTGTAGCTCAGGACGGCTAATGTGTCCTGACAATCGGAAAAGGGTTTTGGGGTATCTTCTACTCAAAATATATCAAGAAACACCAACGACGATTTACTGCAAGTAGCCGAATAATATTCAAATTCAGGCTACTCTGACTTAATGCCCTGAAACCTGTCTTCTAAGGGCTCCTTCTGATGATTTCCTTATAGAAAGCCCGCGGCAAGGGTAGCTTGGTTCATATCATTATCATGTCAGTAAAGAGGTAGGTTTTTGTAAGTTAAAACCCTAAACCCTGATCCTTAAAGTTTTGGTAAGTTAAGGAATGACACTGATCTTTGGAATACCTAGTCCTTGACTATCGGCCTCTTCGATGTCCTTCATCTGCTTGAAGAACTTGTCATGCACAGCCTTTTATGGCTAAGGGCTTACATAAGCTTGCTTGTCGGGTATCATATAGGAACTATGCTACCCAAAAATGGTTAAAGGCTACCTACTCTACTACTAAGTAAGGGTTTAGGGCTATTTTTGGGAGTTCGGGTTCGGGGCTCGCTTTCTACAGCCCTGTAGGAGCTTGAACACTGAAGCCCTAACCCAAACCCAAGGGTCCTTTAAGGCTCCTTTGTGGGTTCCTTTAAGGGGTGTATAGGGCTTAGGGTTTCAGGGTCCATGTACCCGAATAGTAGATACTTTGGGCCCAATGTAGGGACTACTTTGAGGACAAAGTATATGCTGTTTGGGTACATGGACCCTCAAGGGAACCCAACCCCCCCCAAACGAAACTCGTCAAGGTGTTTGCGGGCTTGCCAGCGTTTCAAGCAGAGGTTCCTCTCTATCCCCTCCATACCGGCAGCCCTCTTCCTGTTAGGTTCTCTGCTAGCAGGGAACCGAGATGGGCAATATGGGGGCCTACATAATTTCCAATACTATTTTAGAATTTCCTTCTTATAATTCTAGTATCAAGGGCCCCAAAGCCTTATTCCAATTATCTTTAAGGCTCCCATATTAAACCTTTATAGTAACCCTTATATAGAGCCTTTTTAAAGGAACCTTTGAAGGAACCTGATTCAAAACAAATAAAGCTCCAATGAGTATTATAATTAAGGCTGCCATAGTATTACTCGAAAACCAAAAGCCCGAAACCCTAAAGCCTGAAAGCCAGCCTACGAGGGCTTCTTGGAGGAGTTCAGGGTTAATAAACTTTAGGGCTTGGGGTTTAGACATAAGGAGTTTGGGTTTAGGGTTTAGGAGTTTGGGGGGTAAGGCCTTTGAAGCCAGCCTGTGCACCGAAAGATCTGAGAGGCCTCCGATTAACGATTGCTGGCATAGGGGTCCGAGTAGCTGGTATGGTAGAACCATCTCCATAGTCCCGATATAACCATATCGTATAAGTTGCACTGAAGGCGACTTATTTTGTTACGGAGGGTCTTTCAACTCTCGCGCGATGCTCCTTCAAATGAGTTTGCGCTGCGGCCATAACTGCAACTACTTCCATGGTTGCTACCGCCATTCCAGGTGCTGTGATGGTGATGATGAAGTTGATGATAGTGATGATGACCCCTATAGATAGTAGCAGCTTCATTGCTAGCTGATAGAAACTGAATAACGTATCATTATTACGTTTAGATTCTAGTTCGGGGCTTGGTGTAAACTGCTTAAAGTTCAAATGTTGCCACGTCTAAAGTTTGAAAACTCACCCCGCTTGGAGGTTCATCAGGTATTATGGGGTCCTGTAATCATGGTGCCTTGTAAGTGGTTCGAAGTGGGGGTGTTCAGTCCCCTAGTATTTATGATCACGCTACTGATAGGTCCCACTGATGCCTACCCATGAACCTCCAAGCAAACCGCCCTCCTAACGCCCAAATGCAACATCCTCGCCTCAGAGTCGCGGAGGCGCCAAAACTCAAAGTCCCACAACTGCATCGGAGGCGAACAATGCTGAGGGCTTGTCCGAACTCCAGAAGAATCCACTAGCTTAGGCCACGTATCTTCCATAGATCTTGGCGGATGGCTGTGGGACAAAAACGAACTGCAGAACACTGCAGGGGAACAGCGCTGACCACGATCAACAGAATCAGCCTTCATCACATGCAGTGGGGTAACAAAAAAGAAAAGCTAAGGCAAGAGCAGCAGACCCAAACAGGCGAAACAAATGCCAAGCATCCAACACGATTCCTGGTTCTGGTTGCTTTTAGTTACCCGTCAAAAGAGGCCAACCGTTTCAGTATCGAACACTTAAAGCATGGGCGCAGGAAAATTCCTCACCCGGAAAGGATACGAGTCTGCATGATGCTTGTGAGCCGCACGCGACAAGGAAACTTCCAGGTGAACAAACACGGCACCCAAAGAAAAACCCAAGCACCACGCCGGACTCAGTAGACTCCGCCAGTCTCTCCCAACAAGCGCAAAAATTAGTATGGGGTGTGGAGTAATACCTGAATAGAGTCGTGATGTAGAAGCCTAGGGAATCGTATTTTAAGCCGATTAAGCCTTTGCTAATTTACCAGCCCTGTTCTTTGGAAAAACAAACACGCAGTCTACAAACTCGGGCCCTGATCCCCTAAACGGTCCTTCCAGCCGTTCTCCACCTCGCGCCAGTCCACACACTTTAAGGCCTCAGCAGGCACACAGGTCACAAGGGTTAGGGTTTGAGGGTTTATAGGGTTTATGATTCAGGCTGCAGGGACGCCTTTATGATCTTTGAGCAGATGGGCTCGAGGGCTTATGATAGAGTTTAGGGTCCTAAGTCACGCCAGTACCAAAACTTTGATGGTGAATTCGAAGAGCCCTGACGGTGCCGATCATTCCCGAAAGCCTTAAACCCTAAACCCATTCCGACCCCACGAACTGTAGCAGAGCCTCAGCTAACGGGGACAAGGCGCAAAACAAATCTTCTTTCTCTCTCTATCTCGATCGCTACCGCACCATCTCTATCTTTATCTCCTTCCCTCTCTATGTACAGATTTGTATAGCTTAGATTGAAGCCTGCATCCATGATTGCATGTACATATTTTCTATCTGAGTGTGATAGATAGATGAGACAAGCAGGCAGGTGGCTGAATGGATAAAGAAACAAATAAATGCATAGATAAAACCAACGATAGACAGATAATCGGATAGATGGGTAGAGAAAGACAGAGACACAGAGAGAGAAAGAGAGAGAGAGAGAGAGAGAGAGACATAGAGAGAGCCAGAGACATAGACATATAAATGGACGGGTAGATATACGGTTAAATAGAAAGGAAGATAATGTTAGATGGATAGGTAGACAGGTAGAGAGATAAATGGGGTATGTGCACACAGTTAGGCAGGTCGATAAGTGGCAAAATCGATAGGTAGAAAGATAGGTAGAGAATTAGGTAGATAGATCGACAGATACGTAGGCAATCAGGTACGTGGCAAACGGATGGGTAGATAGATATCAGATAGACTTATTATGGACGATGGACAGGGAGACGGATGGCTAGATCGATAGAGCGTTGGATAGATAGATGGAGAGCTAGATAGAGAGATAGGTAGCTAGGTTGGAAGGTAAGCACGCAGGTAGGTGGGCAGATAGATAGGTCGACAGGTCGATAGATAGGTAGATATAGGTAGACAGATGGATGGGCAGCTAGATACGAGGGAAATGGATACACTGACAGATAGATAGAAGAAAGATAGATAGCTATAGACAGATGAACAGATGATGGAGTGAGAGGTAGCATATTGGTGGGCGAGTGGGCAGGTGTGTCGGGTAGGCAGGCAGGCTCAGGTAGGTAGGTCGGCCTACAGGGTGGGGCCGTGGGAAGTTCGACCTCGCGGGCTTGTCCTTGCATTGTCCGGCATCCTCCCCTGCGAGCCTTTGATTTGCGTACCGTGATGCGCAGCATCGAAAGCGTGCGGCCCTCTTTCAGGAGGTATATTGAACAGAGGTATTGAACACTCCGCTCCACGTCACCCAAGATGTTGGATCTGTGGGCGCATCTTGTGGTAACCTGGCCGCATGTGCACCAGGCAAATTTATTCAAAGGCCTGGTCCTCTGTGTAGCCCGTGTTGGAGCCGCAGGTGCGAATGAGCATGTGCCGGATTGTTCGAATCCAAAGCACGCATTTCGCAATTGCCAGGTGTTGTTGGAACCCGCGACAGACCACGCAGAAACTTGATGTTTCTGCCTGAGCTCTCGTCGGCGGCACCCACCAACACACGCCACCTGCGTGAACACAAGTATTACGTGGCAGCACATGGCTTCATTGATTGACTGAGACCGCAGCATCACAGCACACATAGGCACATGCTCGTGGATGCGGTGCCAATCGAAGTGAAGGACATTGTCATCCACAATCACCAAGTGGGTGCCCCTGGCATTCGGGCAGACTCTCGCCAAAAAATGGTCTTTCAATGATGGCTGAGCACCGGCACAGGCCTTGCGAACAGCCGTTCTGCAAAGGTCACAGTGTGATCCACGCCACCTAAGGATGGCAAATACGGAACACTGAGTGTACGCAGCAAAAGACACGTCAACTGTTGACCGTGAACTCAAGGACCGCCGCAAACCTTCCCGGCGTTCCTCAAATAAACTTTGCACGTGGTTGAGTATTTGCAATGCAAGCTGCCTTGCAATCAGGATCGTCTGGGCTTAGCAAATTTGCAAACCGGACGCATGCTTTCCTGCACATGGCATTGTCACGTGCGCACGTCTATAGACTCAACCGGCACCTCAACAGATCAAAGGTCCACCCATCCGGGGTGGGCCCGTCTCTTCTCGCAAAGCTTTAACACGCAAGCCCAAGAAAAAGCCTCCTAACAACACCGATCAAACACTCTCGCTGTCTGCCTCCCTCCATATATATATATATATATATATATATATATATATATGTATATATGCATGTACACATGTGTACATACATATACACAGACATATACATACACATGTACATGTGTATATATATATATATATATATACACATATACGTACATGTACATATTCATATACCTATGCGTATGCATATTCATACGCATACGCATACGGACCATGAACATACTTATATGTGTATGTACAATTACATATATATATATATATATATATATTTATATTTATATTTATATATTCATATAATTCTATAATAATTATACCCATACATACGTACATCATACATACATGCATACATATCCATGCATGCATACATACAAACAACAGGCATACGTGCGTACGCCGCGTACGTATATACATACCTACGTGCGAACCTACATACGTAAATATATGTACACACCGGTACAAACACAAACACACACACACACACACACACAACCCCGGAATCACAAACATGTAACACGCTTTCGATGTAGAGTCTCCGAGCACCGCATTGCATCAACAAGCAACATTGACTTTGCCTGCTCCGCCGTACACCACAGGCAACTGCCCTGACACAGCAAAACATTACAGATCCTCTTGAACCCAGTGCGCATAGAAAAAAGACTCCGAAACCCCACAAATCCTACACCCCTAAACTCTCAAAGCCCAACACTCACAAATCCTAAAGCCCTACACCCTCACTTGTCGTCCCTGAACCCTGAACTCTACATCCTAATCCCTACAACCATCCCCCGCAAAAAAATCATTGCCCAACACCTATAAAAGGCTATTGCTCTACGTATTCTCAATTTCCAAATAGAACCAAAACCCTATAATCCCCAGCGCTCATCCCGAACGGCCTACACCCTAATCCCTAACTCTAAAACCCACACCCCGTAATGTACGAACCTGATTGAGAAACCTTGGGCCTAAGGGTTCCTTTAAAGGGGTCGAAAAGGGTTGCTATATAAGGGATCTACAGGGGTGCCATAATAATGTAGGAACAAGGTTATTAGGGTTCCTGATATGAATCCTACTATTTTGGGGGTTCTAGGCCCAGGGTTTCTTGATCAGCTTCCTACATCAGTCCGTAAAGCCCTATACCCTGAAACCCTGCATCAGCCTGAGGCAGGATGTACCCTAAACCCCCAAAAGCCCTAATCCCTAAAACCCTAAATGCTCCTGGGGCAAGATGTACCCTAAACCCTAATAGCACCAAACTAAAACTATTACCCCCTTGAAGCATAGTAAGAATACTATGTTTAATCTTCTTTGGGGTTTTATATGAACAAAAATAAAAACCAAATCCTAAGGAGACTATAGAAACCCCTGAAACCCCCAATCCCGAAAACCCCGAAATCCGCCTGGGGCAGGATGTGCCGAAGCTTCGCGAAGTCGTGGTCTTCCACGGCCAAGGCCAACCTCGGCGTAGCCGAGGCTGGAGAAAAGCTGCAGAAACCCAGAAGGGTCAGGGTTTCCAGCCCTAAGGCTCTAAGGACTCATATTTTAAGGCTTTTGGGCCTAAAGAGCATATTATATAAGGCTTTTGGCCCATTTTGAGCCTTAGGGCAGGGTTTAGGGTCTAAGGTGTTTGGCGTTGCTTAGGGCTATAGGATGCTTCAGGCTGGGTTTTAGGGCTTTAGGGTTTGGGGTTTAGGCTTTAGGACACTGGCCTTCGGAGCATGCGCCCTGAAAGGACAACTTCATAGTAGCTCGCGTAGCCACGACCTTACCGAAGCGAGTTCAACACCCTTGAGGATCTTTCTCCGCACTGGCCACTGCGCTCACATCTGACGTCGAGCTACCCTAAACCCTAAACCCTAAACACCTACGCCTTGCAACCCGCTCGGAGCCTACTGGGTGAAGTTCAGAGGAGCCTCGAACTCCACCTTCGTTATATTCACACTGAGTATATGGTGCTTCCCGGATGCCCCCACATCTGGAAAGCCCCAGCTGTAAGCAAACTTGTTCTGATCACTGCCAGGACTAAAATCTTTTGAGACGGAGTCCACAGAGATAGTTCCCCAGGCAGCAGCCTTCACATTGCGAATCAAATACAGCGATGCTTGTCCATTTCCAGCCGCTGCAGTCCCTTTCGGATAGTACCTGAGCCAAAACTCGCTGCCGAGACCCAGGCTGAAGTGAGGACTTTCTACGGACTCGTCCTTCGCCAGGCCCGAGTAGTCTTCCCCTGAGATGTTCCATTCGAAGTAGCCCGGCTTCCTCAACTGTTCATTCTCCTGGCACAACTGCTCGATAGTCACTAAACCCCTACACTCCAAACCCTAAACCCTGAACCCTAAACCCCAAACCCTGAACCCTAAACCGTATTCTCCTGGCGCAACTGCTCGATAATCGAGGCCTGCTGCTCGAAGTAAGCATTCGTGGCGGAGACAATCTGCTCAGCAGCTGGCCTTACTTGTCCAGTATCCTGGAGCAATGGAAAGTTTTAATCTGAGAGTACATTGCAGAACAGAAGAGAAAGGTTAAAAGTTGCTGCTTTATGCCTAGCTAGGTAGGTCCTTTAATTTACAGCCGCGCAAAAACGTTGATTAAAAAGAGATTCTCTTATATAAGCCCAAGCTTGTAAGTCAACAAGACAAAACAAAAATGTCCTCAAGGCCCTGAGCCAAGTGGCTGCTTCAACAGCTCGATGGACTCGGCCCTTTGCCGATCGATTCGAGACTCACTTCTGGACTTTTGGTGGGCAACGTACTGGTCCAGTGCGGTGATCCTTGTCTGTACAGGTTGGAGGGGAACGGAACGATAAAGGCTAACCTTTAGCACAACAAAGACAATGCAATAAGATGTTTGAACCTGTACCAAATAATCACCAAACCCACATTTTGATTGTTGGGCCCCGATTTAAAAAAAACTGAAAAATGAAAAAAAGCTAAAGACTATTCTCACACTATAATCACAATAAGGAACCCCAACATGGTGGTATAGATAAGTATACTACGAACTATACAGTCATTCCTCATTCTCTGCTAAGGATCACGGCGGAGGTAGCCTGGCTCCGGCCTTCCTGGTCCGTGCTGTTCTCCGGTTCATCCTGGCTTCCACACGGGCCCTATAAGGGCTCCTTTAAAGGAGCCCTTAAATTCAAGGAACCTAAACCCTTAAAGGAGCCCTTAAAGGAACCCCTACTAAAAGGAGCCCGTTACGGGTTGGGGAGCTTCTTATTTTGGATCCTGATATACAACTTATCGTCGGACCCCTGCGCTTTTAGCAGGTCTTGGCTCAAGGTTTGGACTCTCAGGGAAATAGGTAGGGACCAAAATTGAAATGATCCCCTCGAGACTCCTCCAATTCCTGGCCACCGAAGAGATAAGAGCTTTGAAGATGCGTGTAAGGAAGAGGCCGTAATAATTAGGATAGGGTCTTGGGGGCCATTTTACTATAGTTATAAGAAGGAACCCCCAAAACAGTATAGGCCCCTTCATGAAAGGATCGTGCAACATATTTCACGCTGCCCAAACCCACTCTGAAACCCAGTGCCCGGATTTAGAAACAAACGTCGCGCCTTTTGAAAACTACATCCGATAGACCCTAAATTAGCCTAAATCTTGAAAACGCCCTGTAAAGCATACCGAAGACTCCGTAGTAATTCCTTTCGTGGGTGACCAAAAACCAGAGCTGCAATGAAGACTGTAGGCAAGGCCCAAGGTCCTATAATTACACCCGAAACCCTAAATCCTAAACCCTGAATCAATCCTAAACCCTCAATACTTGCTAAACCCTACATCCTAACACCTAAATAAACCCTCAACCCTGCATAAATCCTGAACCCTGATTGGATCCTAAACCCTACATAAATCCTGAACCCTACATAAAAAGTCCTAAACACTACATAAGTCCTAACCCCTAAATACATCTGAACCCTAAATCAAACCTAAACCCTAAACCCAAAGCCACTGAACGTTTTGTCTGCCCACCGATATCCGTGAACTCTTCGAGGAGGCGGACTTGCAGTTCTAGTATAACACACCCCAAAGCACTATTCTACTTTCATAGTACTTAAAGGATCATAGGACTTAGTAAGTAGGGTTATAAGTAGGTTATAATTAGGATAAGCCCACTTAGGGGACTGATAACCCCAGTTATAACCTACTTACTAAGCGCCATGATCCTCTAAGTAGAGTATACCCCCAAAACACTGTTCTACCTATGGTCTCCATTGTAGTTCCTTATTGGGTTAAACCAACTGTATATAGCATCCTACAATCCTACAATCTAGACTACAGGTAGTCACAGAGGCCCTTAGGATTTTGGGGCCCAAAAAACGATGGTTATAATAAGGACCCCCCCCCAAAAAAAAATAAGGCCCCTACAGTATACTATGCACTCAGCCCTGAACCGTCGAAAACCGTCAACAAGGGCCTGGGCGCCGAATTCCATGAGCTCTTCGATGCGGCGAGGGGATTCCTCGTTCTCCTAGCACAAGATGCGTTGGACTGGGGGGTCTGAAACTCGGGCTCTTACTATAGGTTCCATATTATAATAGTATAGTATAAGGGGCCCCACAACCCTGTTCCAATTATTATAAGGCCCCTCCAGTACACTCCATGGGTTAACAGAGCAGAAGGGGTAGGGCACCTAAAAGCTTAGGGTGTGGACAGACCTCATAAGTTCGTTATCTGCACGCAGCCGCTGGCTGACTTCTTGCAGCAGCAATCTGCCCCTGCACTCGAAACCCGCGGGCTCCTCTTTCATGACAGAGCTTCCGCTGGTGTCGATGGAATGCGTGCTGATGCGGTGGGCAGCCACATTGTGGATGGCAGCGGCACAGAGTGCAAACACCCATGAGAAGCTCCGCATGCCGCCAAGACAAGGCAAGAAATTTGCAAACTGCGAACAAGCTGTGCAGCTAGCACGAGCACAAGTGGCTGCAACATGCAGTAACTACCAGGTGAGCCACTAGGTGGTTTCTGATTTCCTGAGATACCCAGCAACACAGCCTATACAAGTACGTGTGTATATATATATATATATATGTATATGTGTACGTATATTTATAAAGCTTGTTTGGTGCAAGGGCAAGCTGTGCTACTCATCACAATGCACGAAAGTGCTTTTCAGGGTCTAAGGCTCGAGCATTTCAGGTCTCGTGGCCTCACATAATTATGCCGAGGAATGGGTTTCGGGGTCAAGTCCAACCTAACCAACATCACGAAACGACCGGCGAATCTAGGATTTGGTGTTCAGTCGACGCATGCCTCTGTGTCAGGGTTCAACCCGAAACGCTAAATCCTTGGAGCCCGTAGGTTTATGGTTTAGATCCCTAAGCCCTAAAGCCTAAACCCTGGAGATGTAGGGTCTGCAATCCTCGACGCAAGGTGTCCCTCGCCTTGCCTCTTGGCCGTTAGGTTTTCCGGGATTCCGATGGAGGCCCTCCCTCAAAAACCTAAGGCTTACCTCAACCACAAAGATCCAACCACTGTGCTACCTATAGTCTCATTTGTAGTTCCTTTGTTTGGTTAACCAATTTTATGGTTAGGATCCTATCATATAGTTTTTGGCTAACCAAAAACATAACTACAAGGGAGACTGTAGGTACCTGTCGAGGGTTCCTGAATATTAATTTCCTCATACGCGTGAAAATGAAAGGCTAAAGATAGACTCTAAAGGGTCCAGGTGGGTGGTTGTCAGGTGCCTTACAGTAGAAGCCAGAAAGTTGGAATATGATTCTCCAAGCCCTTTATGGTAAATTCTAAAGTATCCTACCATTAATCCATATTCCAACTTTCTGGAGTTCCCTTTATTTTCATAAGGACTCAAAAAGGGACCATAATTTTGACAACCACCCAGGTCGAGCCGAAGCTGCCAGGAGGTTCATGGGTAGTTATAAGTGGGGTTCCTTTAAAGGGGATCTATAGGGATATAGGGTTTAGGGTATAGGATTATAGGGTTTAGGGTTTAGGGGTAGTTATAAGTGGGGTGATAAGTCCCCTAATATGGGCTATAAGTATAGTTACCCTACTTATAACTACCCATGATCCTCCAAGTACACACCTCAAGGCGGGTTTGGCAGCACAGGGAAAAAGCGACGAGAGTCCAACCTCTGCAAGCACAGGTCTTGCAGCCCACAAGCCCTGCTTCCCAAACCTTACCAGCACCCCAAGTACCCTTTAAATGGCTCTAATATTTCTCATTAAGAGGTAATTAGGGATCACAAGAAAGGGTAGTTGGCGGGCCCTGCACCAAGCTCCCAACTCTCTTCGTAGGTTGTCAGCCTGCTTAATCATTATGTGGCAGCATTCGCTAGAGGCGTGGGGGTTGGGCTTGGGTTGAGTTGAAGGTGTACGCAGGGAGACAAGACTTTTCGGGACTTATATGAATATTATATAACCCATAGCCCCTGCTTGATCAGGATGCGAACTGCTCATATCAGGATATTGCTCACCCATAGGCCCCATAGTAGTTCCTTTTTTGGGTTCATATGTAGAAACCTAAAAAGTAATCCCAAAAAGGAACTACTATGGGGCCTGTATGCATTTCACATTTGCATGGCCCTAAAGATATACAGGGTCTGTTGTTGCTGCTTTTGCTCTGTGTGGCGCTGCGCCTGGGCTTGGAAACTCCCTGAGCAGATTGCAAACGCTGCACGCACCGAATAGCTTTGAGCGTCTTTGTCGTTAATCATTTCAATAGGGTTCTGGGCTCGTTAACCCCAAGGGTCCATGTACCCACATACGTTGGGCCAATGTACCTATATAGGGACTACTTTAAGGCCGAATAATATACTATTTGGGTACATGGACCCTAAGTCTAACATAAGTAATGTTTTGATTATTCTCTGGGGCTTTATATGAACAAAAAATTTCGTAAGGCGACTATAGTCGTTAATACAATAAGTATAATAAAGGAGCCCAAGGGATAGAATAGTTGGAAAGTATTTAGGCTTCTACAGTATTCCCCTGTCTTTCTGTCCCCGTCGTGCGAGGGCTCTCCCTCCCTCCCGCCGTCTGTCGCTCTCGACATCTCTGGACATCACTGCTTTCATGGTCACTACGAGACTACGAGACCTGGTATTGCCACGACTACCTGTTGTGACTACCTGCCGCCTGTCCGAGAAAAGCATATCATAGCTGTGTGTGCCACCGAACCCTAAACCCTGAACCCTGCGCCACGCAACGCAAACTTTTGAACCCTAAACTCCTATAAACCCCTTTTCCCAAAGAGCGCCACCTGCGGATCCGGAGGAGGCATCAAATGGCCAGGCGACGGTGTTGCAGGTCCTGAAAAAGAGCTCCAGATGATCTTCCAGGTCAAAGGAAAATCCCCTCGCCTCTGCATACACAGACCTTCCAGTCCAGTATCCTTGGGGAACCAAAGGTTAACCTTCGGAATTATGGGGATTCCAGCACCCCAAAGAAGCTCAAGGTGATCTACTCTACTACGAGGTAAAGAACAGATCCATTGTTTACCGAAATAACAACAGCTAGGCAATTCTATATCAGGTTTCTAGTTGCTTCTCCTATGGAGTTTGCAGGCCTTTGCTTGGACTCTGTGTGGATCTGACCGGAGTCTTTTCATGGAATCATGGGATGCTTTGCAAAACAACCCTGTACCCTTATAACCCTGCAGCCCCATAACCTGGACCCCAAGCCCGAACTGTCTCTGCAGCACTTTAGTCTCAGGGACATCCACCTCACCTTTAAACTCTCTGCTTGATCCTTCGCAATCCATAGGGTTTAGGGTTTACGGTATAGAGTTCTACTGTCATAGGGTCATAAGTTGGAGGGTTTAGAATGCGAGGTTTCTCGAGTCCGCGGGGATTCAAGATGTATGACACAAAGGTTGTGCGGTCGGAAGGTTTGGGGCTTAGAGGTCCAGGTCTAGAGTTTAAACCCTAAACCCTACACCCCAAGCCCTAAACCCTCTAGACTTCAAAGATGCAAGGCTGCGCGGTCAAAGGGCTTAAAGTTTCGAGCGTTGGGATGACTTCAACATGTGCTGATTGGGATCTTATTCCCGTTTTGGCTCTTGCATCCCAGGATTCCATCACTGAACCCCTAAACCCTACACCCCAAAACCCTAAACCCTATAACTACCCTGAAACCCTAAACCCTAAACCCCAAAACCCTAAACCCCTAAACCCCAAAATCCTAAACCCCTAAACCCCTAAACCCTAAACCCCTAAACCCTATAAAACCCTACACAACCCCCGCTCCTCCGTCTTTCTCGGCACGGACGACTGCATAGGACCTAGGCAGCATCGATCCATGAAAGCTGAGACTTGGCTGGGACCAAGAATAACTATCAGTTTAATTCATACTGCTCGTACCAATACACACAAACAATACATATGTGCCGGTATATGCATGTATAGGTAGATACATACATACACATACATACATGTGTATATACATACATATGTATATATATATATATATATGACGAAAAAGGAACATATACATGTAATTCGGTATGTATACATATATACATGCAGAAATGTATGTGTGCATGCATGTATGCATCTCTGTATATATATATATATATAAATCTACTTTATCTATCTATATCTATACTGCTGTTAGTATTGTTATGAAAGGACCCTGAGGAACTTGTTTACAATGAAATAGGCAACGGGCAAGACGGATGTCGTATCGTCAACCCTCCATAGTCTTAAACCCGGGACTGCACAAAAACCGGAATGAATTGAGCTCGAGATCCTGCAGTGCTGTCTTTACACGGCCGGGTTTAGGGTTAAAGGTTGGACAATTCGAGCCTAGCCTGGCAATAAGCGGGACTTCTGGACTTTGTACTTCGATTGTCCAGGGTTGGGTTCAGTCTACGGAAGTTCACGTCAACTACCATCGCAAACATCTAGGTATATACATAGACGGTCATATATACATATATGCTTCGTCCTAACATGAACATGCATATAAATGCAAACATACCTATAGAAAACAAAATACAACAACAAACAAATATGTACAATGCGCATATCTTTCTATATATATATATATATATATGTACATGTACAGAGAGAAAGAGGGAGAGAGAAACCGATTTGTCCGAAGGTGCGGGAATCATAAGACAGCTGTACAACGCTTGTTTGAGGTGGCCTCAGATCGAAAGAGGTGGTCCGGACTGCTAGGTCTCACGAAGCAAGGTTGGCGTCGCCAACGGGATGCGACTGGCAGCTAAACAAAGACAGAGATACAGATATGTATATATTACACACATCTGTAATCTGAGAGTTTGTGCACTCGTGTATATACACACACATATGTATATGTTAGTGTGTACACATATACAAAAACTTATGTAAGACTATATATATATATATATATATATATATATGTGCATGTACGTATATGCACATGTGTCTGGTTGTGTGTATGTGTGTGTAAGGGGAACTGTCCCTATGCATGAATACACGCATAGGTACACCCACACATACATACATACATACATACATACAGAAGCACATACAGACATGCATACATCATACCGAGGTACATACATGCATGCATGCATGCATACACACATGCATAAATGCATGCATTCACATATACACGGACAGATACACAGACTCACACACACACATGCATGCATGCACGGATGCATGCATGCATGCATGCATGCATGCATGCAGGCAGGCAGGCAGGCAGGCAGGCAGGCAGGCACACGTATGTATATACGCCGCACATACAAACATATGTACGGAGTACTTTTGACATGATGACTTGTACTTGAACTAGGAGTACATGATGTGATACTCTCAGGAGAGTCTTGGCACCGAGCGCGCGCGGGCGCGGTGCGGCTCCTAGCACCGGAGGAAGAACTTTGAGCTTCGGATGACCGTT